ATGACCGGAAAATGACCGAAATATCATTCAAAATAATTAAGAGTTGGGATCATTTCATGGGAAAACTCAATGTTAACGCAAAGGTTAAAAAGATCATTGAGAACTTGATGGCATTATATTTCTATCTTTATATTATTATGTTATATTTCTATTTGTATCATATGTAATTATTTAAAAAAGCAAACAGTCCATTCAATGCAAAATGGCCTATTCAAATCTTTAAAAGATAATTATTGTCGAAAAAATGTAAAAGCAATTTCCGCGCTATTGCGTTTTCTCACAAATTTCGCACAAATTGGTTGTCGCCAAGAAAGTCAGTTTTATATATTTTTGGCAAAAGCTTTTGATGGATATTCTTTGGAATGCCGGTTTTTTACCCATTGAAGATTTTATTATGATTGGTTTACATCATGTCATTTGTGCATTTGGCTTGATAATTTGTTCATTTTTGTTGCTATTGATCACTTTTGGAACTCCCGATTGGCTGAAAACCTATTCAGTATTGATTGCTAATGCCACGATCATTGATTTAGTCACTGGGATGCTCAATTTGTTTGTTATGTTGAGGTAATTTATGAGTTGTTGTCAAAGCTGGCTGGCTGGCTTTAACCTGGCTTTGTCAAAGCTGGATAGCTGGCTAATACTTTTGTGTAGTTTGTGCTGGTCAACTGAAACATAGCCTTTCTGTCTGTGCACCCTCAAAATTCACATTTTTACGTGAAAACAGTCCAGTTTCTCAAGAAAATTGAAGAGTTAGTGCACCAGAAAGGATGCGTTTCCGTTTTTGAAAACCCAAAATCTATGAAGAAGCAGGGCCGTAGCCAGAATTTCGGTGTTTTTGGGAGAATCGCTGGAGCTTTGTCCACAAGCGTCCAATCAATTTACACCCAAAAAAGAAAATTTAGGAAAATCGTCAGGCTACACCATGGCTACATTAAAGTCTTTCTAACATGAAATTCACTCGGAAAAATTTGCATTTTTGTGAGAAGATTTTGGAGGGGCGGAGAGAGGTTTTAGGCCCTTAGCCGATTTAGACCATAAACCAGTGCAAAGAAGAAAGAGAACAATTTTTGACTGTTTAGTGCCTTTTTTGAAATAAATGAGACAAAAGAATGTGCTCTTTTGTCCTTTGGGACACCGATTTCTTAGAAAATTAGTCATTTCTCTTCTACACTCATAGAATCTTTAATGTTTGAACTTTTAGTAGAGTTAGGTGTTGTAGAAGAAGAAAAAACGTTTTTATATAGGCAAAATGATCCCGAAAAATCTCGTTAATAATTGACTCAATCTGTAACTCAAATAACGAGCTTTTCTGATTGAGTTTCCCTTTTTGCAGAAGATTCGTTCGTTTTCATTTCCCAGAACGCGTTGAATCATTTATTTGAAGAGTTCAAAGAGAAAAATGTAATAAAATCTGCAAAAAGATGAAACTTAAGTTAATCTAATTTCTTTCTTTTTGTATGAATTAGTGGAACTTGGTTTTTGCTAATTTTTTGATCAAAATGGATGGGAGAAATTGCTGCAAAACAATTGGGTATTAATTTAATTTTATTAAAGGATTAGTCTCAGAGAACAAGGAACTTTTGGCACTGAAAGCTTTTGAATTCTTGGTCTACTGGTAGGCCAAGAATTCAAGTAAAAACTATCAAGTAAAAACTTGAATTCATGGCTATACTTGACCCGGTTCGATGGAGAATCGTTATGGATGGAAAAGTGAAAACCGAGGCTTGCAAGAAGCTGAAGATTCGTTTCATTTGATGACTAAGGCTCGGATGAGTGGCTGAGTGATGAGTGGCTTAAAAATCTCGAGAATGAAGTTGATTAGATTTTCGATTGGCTTATTTCATGTCTTAGCAATTACTTTCGAGCATTTTCTGCGGCTTTTTATAGTTCCTAAAAGCTTCTAATTTTATTAGAAAATTAACGAGATTTACCAACAGCAATTCTCCAACAATAACAAAGAAATTAAATGACAAATAACGATTGGGTTGGTGAATTGAAAACTGCCGGCTCTTGTCATACGTGACAGTTTGAGCACTTTCTTCAAAAGAAACCCATTTTGGTGTCAATGGAAAACTTGTAGAGAATCAAAAATTAGGCTTATAGCCAAATTTCCAAAAAGATACACTTAGTAGTTTCGCTTAAACTGCAAGTTTTGTGAAAATTCGTAAATTTCGCATTTCTTGAAAACGAGTTTTTGAATCGTTCTGAAAATTTGGATATAGGCTTGATTTTTGATTCGGCTACGACATATATTGACAATACATTTTTCAAACTTCTGACACTTACATTTTTAGCGAATTTCCACTCTATTTGTTCAGTATTTTCTTTGTAAGAAAGGAAAATTTTAATAGCGTTTATTATCATTATTAAACTATTATTAAACCTGTACCTTTTCTACAAATATCCGGGGGAAGACGAGTGTTTGAAATCTGGGAGAGCCGTACGCAAAAATCACAAGCTAGGTAAAGAAAAAGTGACATTCAACATAGAAACAAGACATAAAATGATCATAAAAATGATATTTACTTTCGAAATTGAGTTTCATCAACTAAATTTTAGTGGGAATTGGGTGCAAAAAAGTCGCAAATTTTATATTTGCAACTTTTTGTCGCCTTCTCCCCTTTCAAAAGGGGAGAAGACGACTAATTGACTTTGGAGGAGCCCATTGAGCGAAAAAAAACACACACAACTACTTAATCGCAACTTCGTTTTTGAAAACATTCATAAAATTATGTCAAAAGCAGAAAACTCCATTATAATTGAAAAAAATCTACAGAAGGCTTTACATACCCTACGTATCCACGCCCAAATACCAAAACAAGTACTGCATCAAGATTTTCAGCTGCTACTCGAAAACTCGAAACTCGAAGAAAATGAAACCCAATTTCGTATTCAATTCCTCTAATGTAAAACGAGGATTGGAGAGACCCGTGGGGAAATATTTTGAACACACGAAAACAAGTGGAGTTCAGTATTTTGGGGACACAAAAAGTGGACATTCTGGAAAGTTAAAAGATTCAAAGTCTAGCAAAAACCTTGAGCAGCGATGTTCCAAGTCTATGGTTTCCAGGCCAAGTTAGATGAGGAGCCAGGGTCCAAGCTTTGGCCTGGTCTAGCCTGACCTGTTCAGCCTGTATTCCGTGTCTGATCCAAAAAGTATCCAATCCACCAGGAACCAGAGCTTTCTTACAGACCAAAAAGTACAGCTTTCTGGCTTTGTTACAGACCTAGACCTAGACCTGGGCCTGGACCTGACTGGTCTTGACCAGAGATCAGAACCATAAGCCATAGGCCAACTGGAACATTCCTGCGTTTGAGCATTTAAATCAAAAGCCTTTGACCCATTTCAATTTTCAAGCTTGTCCATAAAATAGAAACTTGAAGTGAAAACAAAAATCTTTGCAAATCTCAGCTCATCTATAAGGCAACATTTCTTTGAGAAAATTCTTGGAAACACATAAATACCTAACCCTATTGCGTAGCTATTTGAGTATTTTTTGGTGCAGGAAATCACAAAGAGTATAAAGTCCGTAGAAAATTCACACGCCTATCGATCAGAAACGGTTCTTGTTGAAAAGAGAAACACGAGATTTTAAAAAAAGTTGAAACAAAGAATGAACTGACCAATGAAATTGGATACGTTTATGAGGTTTTTCTTTATAGAAACGGCAGTTTTAAAATGAAAAGAAAAAAGGAATTCATTTACAAGTGCAATAGGTAACAAGCTAGTCTGAGATCTTGAAATGAGACCGATTTTTTTCAATCCTTTGTCTGCTCTTTTCCTCAAGATTCCGGTTGTTTACAGCCCCATTTCATTTTAATTACACTTCATTAAGATCCGACCCGATCCGATAAGATCCGGGTCAGCTTCCGGATCAGATCTGGAGCTGATTCGAACCCCCAAGGACTTGTCCGTAAGGTCGGCAAAGAGGACGTGTCCAATGAAAGGGTACTTTACCTTTAGTAAGTTAAGTGGATTGTCGCTTCATTCAATTCAGATGTCTATTGAACAAATTCCGGTCTCATCCCAAAATCCCACACTAACAAGTTCATTTTAGTATGCATGTGTTTGAGGGAGTCTCTTCATCGAGAACCAATTGTTCAATTGGCGATTTCCCCGTCGTTGCGATGGTTGCATGGCCAGCTGCATCAAAGGAATCGAGACTTGATACCTAAACAGAAAAATCTTTGATTACTTTAGCTTTCACTTGCATTTTCACATTGTCCTTCAATCCACCAGCATTCCAAACGGATACCTCCAAAATGTGTGTCTCGAGGAAATCTTCAACATCAGTCACTGTGGGCAAATTGTAGGCAAGCTAAACTTTTCGTTGGCAAGATAAACCCAGAATTTGATACCTTCGAATTAAAAGTTGGATTCAGTGCGTTTTTCACAATCGGTGTTTTCCGCTTGGAGTTCGCGGTGTGTGGATCGTTGAGCCTTGTTGTCCGGAGATAAGTCTTGACGTAGGCGTCCGGTGACTGAAAATGGATTAATGAAGTCTTAGTTTGAAAACGAAAGCACTATGTTATAATGTTTCTTTGGTGTTTATATATTGTTTAAGCACAGATCTTCCAGCTTAAAAACTCACCGTAATATCCTATGGCTCAAAACTCAACTCTCATGGCTCAAAACTATGCTAGCATTGATTCAACAATTTTGGCTCACCTAACCGGCTTTTGGCTCTTCAAACCATAACTGTTTGTACTTAAAATCAAGTATTGTTTGAGATTTAAGTTCAACAGTTTTATTTAAAGCTACAATAGCTCAACAGGATCACACTAGGGAAGAGTACTAGACCACCGTGGGATTTCAAAATGAGACCCAGCCCATTCGATAGAAAAACAAACGAGGAATCCGAATCTGTAATCAAAATCTGCTGAATAGCTCGCAAACGCAAGATTTCTGGCATCGAAGTTTTTCCTATAAACTCTTAAGTTGAGTTTACGCGACACCTTTCAGCGACAGTCGTGGTGTAGTGGATAGTGCAATTGCATAGGGAGCTTAACGCATTTTTTGGTAGTAGGTTTGAATCTCCTACTTGACAAACTTTTTGCTTTTTGGGCTGCGTCTCGTTTTGAAACCCCACGGTGACATAGTACTCTTTCCTAGTCAGGTAATTGAGCTTTTTCAAAAAATTCACTTGTCCTGTTGCTAAGATGGGCAAATTTCGGAGGTGCTTCACAAAAACATTCAAATTTTTGCCAGGGCTATCGTAGGAAAGCTCGAGTAGCACTTGTACGTCACCCATGGCTGCAGGTGGAGGGTTCAGCTCTGGAAAAGTTCATGTTTAACTCTCAAAAACATCTTTACCTCCACGATTTCCGAGATTGTTATCTCGCAGGATGTTGTGGAAGAAACTATACACGAGGGGGTCCTAAAACGAAAACTTTTTTCTCAAACTGATTTATTACTCACATCTTTGATTTCAGGTCTCTGGAGAAGTCCGGTGACAAAAATCTAAACTTTGTTTTTGATACTAAATTCGAGAGTAGACTTTAGTTCTTTGCAGTTCCAAAACAGATTGCATTTAATTTGTTGTTTTCTGATTGTAATCTGTTCACTAACCTTTATATCATTCATTCTCCTCACCGCCACTTCTTTCACATTCGATCGCATCACTGTGCCTCGATCTAAATGAGGAGTAGCCTCTTGATATCTAAAAATACAAGTAATTTCAGAAAACAAAGCTAACTGCACTTTAGTTTCAATTTGCTGAAGAGCTCGTGGAACTCAGCAAAGGATCGATAGACGTAGGTGGGCTCTGGAACTCCCTCTCGATGAACAACGAGTTGGTAGAGCTGGAAATTTTGATTGTTTACATTGAGATCTACATCATAAGTCATACTTAAATCTTAGCTATTATTGGGTTGGTGGGTATGACTTGGCACGTTTATTGGGTTGGTGGGTTGGTGGGCGACACCTTTCAGCGACAGTCGTAGTGGATAGTGCAATTGCATAGGGAGCTTAACGCTTTTTGGTGTTCATTGTTGCTAAACCGCTGTTTCGCCGCTTTTCGTTCTCCTACCCCTTGGTGGGTGGTGTGGCCGGGGCTTGGCGAATAAATACTTTGATTTCGAAGAAGAGGTCAAAAAATGGCTGACTGATTGGTTTGCGTCAAAATCGAAGATTTTCTACGATAGAGGCATTCGACTTCTATCAGTAAAATGGGCACAAATCATACAAAATGATGGCAAATATCTCGCATGATTTGAAGTTGTTCATTGAAGAAAAATTTCATTTCAAAAAACGTGCCAGGTCACACCCACCAACCCAATAGTAACTATCGAAGAATTTTAAAACACTCCACTCACATAAACTTTTGTCGGCATGTCGTACCGGTCCACTTTCAGCAAGCTCACCTGCCGGATCCGTCCGTCCATCTCTTTGCTAAAATTTGCAAAGATATAAGCATAATTTATTTCAAATATCTGTTTAAGGTCAACTTCTACTCTGGTTGGAATCTAACCACAACTGCAACCTAACTAGAATTGTTTTAAAGACAATTTTCGGGCAAGTTTCAGACAATTTTCACAAAGTACCGAGCCTGGTCCTGGCTCGGTACTTTGTGAGTTGGGGGAACACTTTTTTTAAAATTTTCCCTTTTCCTGGGGTAACCAGTGAGGCTGAACACGGAAATGATAAAATTTTTCTAGGTTCTCCATCAAAAACTCATTTTTTTAAGTTTAAAAATCTTTTATAGGACATTTTCATGATATTCAGTCAACGAAATTGCATTTTTCTTCGCGTTAAATACAAAGTTTTGTCAGGTTGTATTCCTGTTTCATGTTTTGACATAAAATTCGTCGTATTTGCTTAGATATTAGGTATTTAATCCATCTTTTCGTCAACTCCCAACCCAACTTGAATTTTAACTTTCTAGGTTAACGGGTTTAACAATGGATTTCTACATTTCTAGGTTAATGGTTAATGGGCGTGGTTTAATAAGAAAAACAGATTAAATTTGTTAAACCGTTTCCTAAGCTAATGACCAAAACGTAACAGTAATCTTAAGCAAAAAGTCGGTTTTTCGATGATAAACCGGGTCTAAAAATGCGAAATTCGTCACTGATTACCCCAGGAAAAGAGGAAATTTTTTAAAAAAGGTGCCCCTCCCCTCAACTCACAAAGTACCGCCGATAGTCTTGCGGTCGCTTAAGCCATTCAAACCGCCCTATTTTTAACCGCATCTAACTTCAACTCACGTATATTTTTGTGGAATAAACGAGAGCGTGAAACCGTCTTGTTCCGTGCCGACTTTAGTCTTCCATCCTTTGAATGTTTGCGATATCGAGTGAATCAGAAAGTTCCATCGTGTAAATGCTGACTCCAAGGATTCCTGAAATTCTTGTATTAGTCAATCGGCCTATTTCTAGAAAGCGTTAGTTATTGGGTATGCATATGAAATGACTAATTCATGTAAATTTCTCCACCAGAGCAGCTATCCAATTTCTGTTTGGTTAGAATGAAAAGTTATAATCTTAAGCTAATAACAGTGGGGATCTTTTTGATTTGACATGAAATGATAGAGGAACTTTTCGACCAATCGAGTCAACTCAACGTTGATGTTCTTTTGGACCAAAGTTCTATTGGCTCGATATTTTTTTTGATCAACATGGCTCTATTCAAAGATTTCAGTGAATCTTTATCAAATTTTTATCGTTTTTGAAGTTTTGGAAATAATTTGAAGCAATAAAGGCTGCGATTTCTTAATGAGTTAGCTTTTTATTGAAAACGCCCATGAAAATCATGATTGCTTGAAATAGTTTGTTCCAAAGTTTGTTCTTTGATCCAAAAGCTGATTATTGCATAATTTTTCACTAGCAACAAATCGTAAAAGAACTTTTTGGAATCTGGTGATTGGTTGGGGAAAAGTGGAAAAATTTAGCCATTTTATATGCATTGACCCAATAGCTGTTGCTTAAATCCTTACATTGATCATCTGCGTGAACTGCTCAGTTGCATCACTGTCCGGCAAAGTGAGCATCAGATTTTTCTCTACAAAGCTCAAAGAGTCAGGGCTGATCCCAGGAATATCGGAGCACACCATCTGAAAATTGAAAAGCTTATTTTGAAAATGCGAAGAATCACCTCAATATTACACAAAATTTCAAAACTCACAATCTTTATGAGATTCGTGATGACACTGTAGTTTTTTCGCAAGTGATTAAACGCATTGCAGCAATGATCGATGAACGTTTGATAGTTTTGACTGTTCGGATCATTTCCGGTGATCACGATGTACATTTCTTTCGTGAAAACGAATGGAACTCGATCTCTGGAAAGTTTACATGAAGCTTAGATAAATAATCTTTAGTAATGTGTAATTATTCAATGAAAAACTTACCTTTTGAATCCGCCAGCCATCTGCCAATCGCCCATGTACTTGCCAAAGTCGATGTGAAAGACGTGACCCATTGTAGTCAGTAGTATATTGTCATTGTGACGATCACCGATTCCAAGAACATACGTGGCAACACACCAACCAGCGCAAGATCTTCGGAAGTTGTTTAGAGCCTAAAATGATGCTTTGAACAATGAAGAACAATGAAAAAAAGAAATAACAACAATGAAAAACTAACCTTAACTCTATGGCACTTCAAACTCTAGAGCCAGACTACAAACCCTTGTAGAAACGTGCAGAATAGATATTTTTGAAAACTCTTTATACCAAAAAATTTGGCTAACTTTAGGCTTTCGAATGACCCCAAAATCAGGCCAAATCATGTTTTAGGCGCTGAGATATCACGTTTTTTTTCCGATGAGATGCTATAAATGGCTCTCTCGGAGTAAAAATGATCAATTGACTTGATTTTGGTGTCATTCAAAAGCCTAAGGTTAGCCGAATTTTTTGGTATAACGAGTTTTCAAAAATATCTATTCTGCGCGTTTATACAAGGGTTTGTAGTCTGCCCTTGTAGCCTGTAGCGCCAGGGTGTCCCAAAATGATGGTGACGCAACTTCTTTTTGAATTTCACATGGTTCGCTGCGCTATCTCTTTAACTTTTTTGATAATATTAAATAAATTGCTCATTGTTTAGACATAAAGTTGCAGAAAAATGCATGTACTGCTGTCTTCATCAGCAACAAAATACAATTGCCGAAATTTTTTGACTTTTGCAAGAGTGAAAACAGCCATTTTTCCAGACGAGTTGTTGTTGCTTCTGAGATTTCCAAAAATCGTATTTCGAGTCGTTGGGTATTGGCTACTTTTTTTGGTCTCGCCCTTTACGATTTTCTTTAGAATCTAGTCTTGAAATTGTTTAGTCGCTCGAAAAATGATGGTTTTTACTCTTACAAGTGTCAAACAATTTTGGCGACTGTATTTTCTTGTTGATGAAGACTAATAATGACGAATTTTTCTTCAACTTTATGTCTAAAAACGAGAACAATGAGCAATCGATTTAATATTACCAAAAAGGTTGGAAAGATAACGCAGAAAACACGAAAAACCGTGTCACCATAATTTTAGGACACTTCATTACTTGTCATAATTACAAGCTGCTCATAACCAACCAAATTGTAGCTGTAGAAATTGGAGTTGTGTTTCTGCAACCATTTACAGAGCACATCGTCTTTGAGCGCTCCCGTCACTCCACCCTCAGCCTTTTGTATATCGCAAAGGGTTTGGCAGTCAGGGACCAGCTCAGCCATTCCTAGAAATGGTTTTTGAGGCTTTGAATAATCTAAAACCTTTCTTGTAGCCGACAGAAGTGCATCGGAAAGTGATCATTCGAAGGTCCAACTTTTCCCTCAACCAAATGTCATTCATCAAGCGCACCATTTGAAGAACCAGCGAGTCTTGTCTCATATCATCTCCATCCTAAAACAAAAATTGGTTAGCTAAATTTTCAAGGTTTCGTTCGGATCAATCAGTCAAAATCGCCAACTCACTTTATGTATGATGTTGAAATTGCTCTTCAATCCTCGGAACACGATCTTCAAAGGCATGGCGTTTGATTGGAAGATACTGCATTTTTGGACATCGATCTGAAACAAAGCAAGTAGACAAAATAAAACTCATAACATCAACGTTGAACTTACCCCCGTGCTCTGGAATGATGGCAGAATCGGCAATCGAACTTTTTGACTCAATAACTCTCCGTCCATTCTGCCAACCATTTGCCGCAACTTGTGCATCTGTAAGTCAAAAGTTTCTTGGCTAAACTATGACATAAGCACTTAACTATTAATTTTTAATAAAGTAAAGAAAAATGAATGCAAGGAATTTGGAACCGAGGGGGAATTGAACCCTCAACCTTCTGCTTAACGGGCTGATGCTCTACCAATGAGCTATCTTTCCCTAAGAAAAAATAGGAAAGACTAGGAAGAAGTGAGGAAGAATGAAGAAAATTTAAGAAAAGTAGAACATTTATAGATTATCATTCTCGAAGCTTTCTCAATAATATTTTACCCTAGCATTAAAGTCATCGATTCCTTTCAACTCTCTTTGCAGCTCATCGAGGCTGTTGACAAGTTTGTGCTGCAGACAAATGTTGTGACATAAGAGTTTCGCTTCTTTGCTAAATGTTTGTCGTCAAGCTTTGCATGAATTAAAACAAACTTTGTCAAGAGCTCTTCTTGTAGTAGCTGACATCGCCGAACATAACAAGCAACATCGGCCGAGAAATCATTCGCTAGACAATGGTCAACACGTTGTTGCAGTTGCCAGTAGAGCTCGAAAGCGAAGCGGCGGTCCTGAAATTTATCTTGGATTGAACTAAACCAAGTTCTGCAAAATTTTTTACATTATACTCGTCTTATCATTACAATTTTAGCAATGCGGGTGTAAATGGAGAAAACCGAACCTAATAGCCACAAAACAACTATAAAATCTTTAAAAACAGTTATACGAGCCAGGGAAATCGAAAAGCGGGCCGACTTGGAGAAGAAAATTGATGAAAATGCAAAATTTTCGTCAGCGGAAAGACTTTATAGAAGTTTCTGCCAAAAATTCGTTGGTAGAATGTACCCACAAAATAGTTTCCGTCATTTCCTCGATTATAAAAAAGTTGGGCAAATTAAAAGGTGCCCTTTGTTTTCAATGCTGTTTCCAGCTGTACCTGTTGGTTAGATATGTTTATTTTCAATCTAAGTCGCTAGCGTAAGCTAGGTAAGGTGATAGGTACGGTAGAACATCATTAGCACCTTTAAAGGTAAGCTACACTCTATTTTTATGGGTTTTTAGTAGCTTCTGGGATAATCAACATGATTGGTATAACGGTATTAAAATGTTCTTTTTTTTGTGTCAACTGACCTTGTAAGAGAGCTGCAGCAAGAAGTCTGCTAGAGCTGAGTCTTCGTAGAGCTCAAATCTTAGCAACTGAAAAGTTAGACTGTGATTTGATACGGTTGAAATTTTAAGTAAATCTTGCTCTATCTTTAATCTTTAAGTAATCTTGCTAAATTTTGCTAAAAACAGCTAAAATTGTGAGTAAATACTCCAGAAACCTCAACAAGTTGCGGAAGAAAATTGAACAAAAAGTCGCTTGGCGCCCGTTGAATCCATTCAACAGCTTTCGATCGAACGCGGAGATCCGGGTATCTGAAAATAATAATAGAACTGGGTACTAATACAGTCATGAACAAAAATCTTTTAACGTTGGTTTTCCAAAGTTTGTTTTTGGTATATCTTGGTCCAAATTCGACCAATGTGCAAACGGTTTAAAGATTTAAAGAGCTTATTATCACTAGTTTTAACATTATGATGGATGATGGATTCAATGATTTAGGATTATAAGGATCTGGATTATAATACATATGTCATGAGCTTTTTAAAAAACAAAAATTTAGCCAAAAATTGATGGACAAAAGTCTTTTAACATCAGTTTTTCGAGAAAATTCTTCTTTTTCAGTCTTTTTCCTTTTGATTTCTGGTTGCTAACTGTAATTTTTTAGATGCTCGACGCCTACTTATCAACTACTTATCAACGAAATTAAAGGAGAAACTATTCGGATCAAAAGTGGAGCTTTGGTACTTCATCCGTCGAGTCTGGACAACTATTGGACCCCAAATTCTACGTGATCTGGTTGACAGCATGCCAAGGAAAATTCAAGCAGTAATTGCGGCTCGCGGAGCACTTACTAATTATTGATTTTCATAATGTTTTTCTCACATGTTAAAAGACTTTTGTCCATCAATTTTTGGCTCAATTTTTGTTTTATTAAAAAGTTCATGACACCTGATAAATTGTCAAATCCATCTTTTTGTAATGTTAAAATTAGAGATAATAAGCTTTTTTAATCTTTTAACCGTTTGCAAATTGGTCGGATTTGGATCAAGATATACAAAGAGCAAACTTCTAAAAACCAACGTTAAAAGACTTTTGTCCATGACTGTAGATAATTTTGTTAAAATGCAAGTCACTTACTGTGGCAATAGCAGTTGAATAGCTTGTACTGGTGTCAGACTGGCCCAAGTTTCAAGAAGGGAGTAAACAGTCTCCAGAAATCCGAAGCCCCAAGTAGGGACACTTGCCAAGACAAGTGGCAAGGCTTCGGGGTGATTTACTAGATATTGCCGTCTTTGCCATAAAGTCTCACGATCATCTAGTTGTAATCTAAAATTTTGTCATTGCACTAGTTATCGTAGCCGTTACTTCTCCGGTTCTGTAGCTTCCATTAAAACTTGCAAGAGCTCTTGGGTCTCTTCTTGAAGATTGTGGAAGTTCATTTTGACACTAAATTGCAGTTTTATCGATGTTTCTTTGACGATATAGGAGCTCAGTTCTTACAACCGAGTTTACATGATTCAAGAGCTCAACGAACCAAGGATGCTCAACGATCACATCCGGAAACACAACATCATAATCGTAAACGGGTAGCGTGATGACGAGAACAGCGTCCTTTTCCGAACAAAGCAACGGTTGCCCACCCCATGGCTCGATTCGGGTTTGATTTGACTCAAGCGAGGAAAGGCCACGAGGCTTCGAAAGAGGAACCATCAATTGGCCTTGTCGCATTTTACTAAAATCGCATTTGTCGCATTTGTTTGATGTGATTGTTCCGGGGACATCACAATTGTAAACGGGTAGTGTGATCGATACTTTAGTGCTCTTTTGTGAAACAGTTTACACACTAATGGCCTGATGAAGTTGCTTAGCTATCATTTCAAAAATGCTTCAACCTCTACTAGCTCTTCTAGTATGTACTGTACTTATTGTATTAGGTTGAGGACAAAATAATGCACGTTTTGAATTACACATTCGGGAACTGAAATCGACTTCAACCCAATACTCAAGACTTGCAAGCTTGTAGAAATGTTTGATGTTGATCAGAAGACAATCGACAACCATTTGCACCAATTCGGGGGAAAAAAATCGCTGTGGAAAATGGGTCGCTGACTTAAGGCAACAAAACAATTCGTGTCAACTTCAATTCTTTTTTGCTCCATAAATGCAAAGCTGCTGATTTTTGGGATTCGATTTTGACACCTGATGAAACTTGGATTAATTACGAGAATGTCAAAAGGAAGAACCAATGGCTATCTCTTTAAGCAATTTGGACTCACTTCTACACAAATAAATGCTCTTCAAAAAGCGATCACTAATGAAAAGGCAAAAGTGGAGCGCAATTTGAGTGGGCAGAGATGGGTGATAAGCGAGAAGAACGATGGAGTTCCGATTCTTGAACAAGAACAGGTTCGAAGTGTTTCTTCAACGTTTGATTGTCGAAGTGTTTCTTCAACGTTTCGAAGTGACCAAAGTGGTAGAACAAGCCGGTGTCTTTGTGTCGGATACAACAACCGTCCCTGAAGTGCTCCCAGAAAACTGACTTTCTTTGACAAAAAAACCACGAAACTGACTTTTTTGCCCAAAAGACCATGAAACTTTCAAAAGATCACGTTTCAGGGGAAAAATCCTCACTTGTTATGATCAAACATCGGCAAAGAGGCCACAGCCAATGGTTGTTCTTCGGCTTTCGGGTAACCGCCCTGCAGACCACCATTCTCGGCAACATCCCCTCGTACTCCCCACAACAAAAACATCAACTTTGCTTCTCGAGGACAATGACGCAACTCTGTGGAGAAGTGAGCCTAAATTTCTCGGTAAAATTCCTTTTTGACTGTTTTCCTGTTTTCATCACATCCAATAGCTGTGCCAAGGCAACTCTAGTAGTGCATTGAAATCAACCAAAAATTCTCTACTAAGAACTCACGAAATCTTAGCAAAATAGCGACTGATCTAATAATTTTTGTTATCTCAAATCAGTTAGAACTCACATAAATACTCATTTCCACATAGGGAAAGAATGCATCCTTTTGGACTTCTTTTGGAATGACTTTGTCGTGCCCATCGAGATTTTCGGTTCCATGGAAAAGTGATGTTGTCACGTAGAAATGCTAAACGGATTCGTTATTAGATAAAATAATGATATTTGAAGGAGAAAGTGGTACTTGTGCCTTTCTTAGACCCGGCAAAAGGACAAGAAAACAAACCAGGCTTTTGACCAGTCTTTTTGCAACCCTAATACTTACAAAATCAATTGTCAAGTCATTAAAGAACGATTTTCTTCTCACCTGATAAACTCCCAACCATTCTGGACGCAAGTTGTGCACACTGTTCACAATGATTTTCACTTTCTCATCGACTTCGATGACTTTTTTTACAGGTTTGCCGACTTCCTAAACATTTAATTGACCAAGAGAAGCAAAATTTTTGATGCAGCAAGCGATATACCTGCATTTTCATGAACAAAAATTTGAGGGCTTTATTGCCCCGCTAAATAAACTTTAATAAATAATCAACCAATTTTCTGAACCCACCTTTAATGGGAGAACATTATATCGACTCTTGGTGCTTTTGCAATAAGCCGAGATTAGACCGTGAATTGCTGCGATGAAGTCGTCTCTGGACTGGTTGACTGTCTCCTAGAAAAAGTTGATTTTATATACTCGTGTATTACATTATACACTACTAGTCACTGCAGATATTTGCATCATAAACTAATGGCTTTGGTCTACCAGAAGAAATGTTTTTATGGTAAAGGTGAACCAGGCCAGAAAAAAGGCTTATCAGACATTTGATACGCGCCTCGTCCCCTTTGCCATTGGCAACCTAACTTTGAACTCAAATATCTTGATGTTGGGCTGCCGAATTTAAATATTCTTGGTATCATTGGATGCGCCAAGTCTTTCTCTGTCGAATGGTACAAAAACTATTTAAATTGGACAACCCAACATCAAGGTATTTGAGCTCAAAATTAGATTGCCAATGGCAAAAGCGGCGGGGCTCCAAATGCCAATCAAATGTCCAAAAAATGCCAAATCAAATGCTCCACAGTATTAAAATCGTTTGAACAAGGTTTAAGTCAAAATATTTTTGGCTAAACTGGTTCTAGTATTTGGCCCAAGTTCTGCAAAAATCTTTGCTCGGTAGAGTTTGGGTCATTTGCGACAAGGCAAACTGTCGTAAATCAAATCATTAAATCTTTAAGCTATGCATTATATTATAGACTCATATTTTTTGCTGTTTTTCTGGCTTATTAAAAGATTTTTTCAAGACTTAAACCAACCTCCGTTGAGAGGAGATACTTCTGAAGTTGTCGATGCACGGGTACTGGCTCGATTTGGCACAATAGCTCGCACATCCTTTTCACGTGTTGCTTGACTTTCTTCGAAGCAGCTGCCACTAAAAAACATTGTTTTTTACAATCTCGTTGTTAGATAAAATCCGAAATCACAACAAGCCAAAATCGCAAATTTAAAAGATTAGTTAAGCGGTGATACCTTGAAGACTTTCTTCATTCATAATTTCTAAAGGATTTGAAGCTCCAGAAATTCTGCAACAATGTTACCTGACAATGGATTGTTGTCTTTGATCTCTTTCTCGAATTTCACCATATCGACTTTAAGCAAAGCCAACGCGTTTCGAATGTCCTCGGCGTCCAAAATTGTTGGTGATGGGAATCGTGGTCTGAAGTTAGGATTGAAATTCTATTCAGGTGAAATTCTTGCTTAAATGATTGGCTAATAGCTTTAACTAAATATCTAAATATAAAATTTCTGCTCGAAATAGTCAAAATACCTGTTCTGTTGAACATCTTTGTACTCAAGAGCATCCCTCGTTTGATTCAAATCAGAAATGACTTTCCGACCAATCTAAAAATACAAATCAGGTAATAACAGAAGCTCAAGCTTATGAAATAACAGAATCAAGTAATAACAGAAGCTCGAGCTTATGAAATAACAGAAGCTCAAACTTCAACTTTTACCCAAAACTAACCTCCAACTTCACATCCTTATCCATCAACAAGCATTTCCCGACAAACATGTTCTGTCCAAGCAGGGAATCCTCCGGAAGGAACTCATCCAAACCGTATTCCTGAATAAATTTTAGTTGTAATTCAATCTAAATTACCAACCTTTAGACCATATTCTTTCACTGGAACCCCTCTTGTCAATTGGCTTTCATCAAGAAAAGAGACCAACACTTCAGTGATGAGAGCCTCGATTTTTGTGGAAGTCTCGATCGTTCTCGCAAATGGGATCCGTTCTCCGCCTTCTGGCCATCTGAAGAAATTTAAAAAAAATCCATTTAACCACACGAATAATGTGGTACAAACAATACAAAAGCAGCTGACCCCTTCACCTCCGATTAACTAGGAAAAGGCAAGCACTTGCCGTGGCCTTTTGGAACGATGTCAAAGTCTTATAGATTTGGCTACGCTGAGTTCGAATCTGCTTTTACGTTTTTTTCTCAAAGTCTTGCACGCAAGATTTCTGGCTTACAAGTTTTGATTGCATTTTTGATCTCTATTTGAGGCCTCGGTACTTGTGGAATATCCGGGGGGGTAAAATTTTATATACGTTATACACGACCCCTTTTAAAGATATTCAGCCGCTTAAGTGATTTGGTGGCAAATTCCCTTCAAATGTAAAGATATTCAATTTATTGAGGTGATTACTTGATTACAAGTAGTATTCGTTGTCACTGTTACAAATAGTCACTGTTGTACTTCACAAATTTATTTAATTATTATGTTTGGTTTATGTTCTTGCATTACTCGTGCATCTTGTTTATTCGTTGCTGGTATAGTTATAAAATTTAGTTACCACACGCAAACAGCGGCAAAGCCAAGAGGATCGAAGCCTGGCAAAGTTCTATTAACAAGAAAAACATTTTTGGGCATTTGGTTGGTTTTTAAAATTTTACCCCACCAGATCTTAAAATTTTACCCCCCCCCCCCCCCAAACAATACAAAAGCAGCCCTAAATTTAGGGAAAAAACTTATCTGTATCGAAAAAAGAACCAATCTAACAAGTGGGATTGACCCCTTCACCTCCGACTAACTAGGAAAAGGCAAGCACTTGCCGTGGCCTTTTGGAACGATGCCAAAGTCTTATAGATTTGGCTACGCTGAGTTCGAATCTGCTTTTAGTTTTTTTCCTCAAAGTCTTGCACGCAAGATTTCTGGCTTACAAGTTTTGATTGCATTTTTGATCTCTATTTGAGGCCTCTTGACCACTTGACTATTTGATCTGGTGTCTTTCCCCAATTAGCCAGTCGGTCATGAAAGTTGACTATGCAGAAGCTCATAAGACTATTGGTATCTATGAAAGTTGATCAACCTCAACAAGTAGTGAAAAAGTTTTACAGCTTTCAAGTTGAATAAATGAGGTTCTACCAGAGCCATGTGATCACTTTGATCAACAAAGTCTTGTATATTTCTCCTAATGTAGATTGAGGCAAAAAAAAGTCAACTAAAACTTACGTATGATCTTTCACCACACTGATCTTGACGCTTGTAGCTCCGGTTGTTGTCATGTAATTGACGATTGGACTCGAGAAGAACTGGGAACATTTTGCGCTTCGTGAGAGTCGTTTTGTTAAGCGTTCGAACTGAAATTTGTTTCAAAAGTCTTTTCAAAGCTTTTAAAGCAGCTTTACTTGTTCTATGACATCGGGAGTTTTCTCAAAAATCTGAATTGAATCGATCGAGTACCAATCCTGAGCTGAGGTTCTTCCAAAAGTAGGCGGTGAAACGATTGTTGATGCTGGTCTGAAGTTACTTATTGATAGGGTTTTTTATTGATATTAATCTTATTAATCTAGTAGGATTAAAAGCTTGAATGAAAATCATTGAATTGATTGAATATTGTTTGATGATTAAAAATCTAATGCTACTCAACGAAAAGAGCAAAATCAACTTTCATTCATCAACTAACAGTCATCATTTTAAGTGATTTGAGCTTTTTTGATTGAGTAATTTTAAGCTTCTATTACCAAAAGACATTTAATTGATAAAGAGATACTTTTCCTATTTCTAATCCTTTTGGTTATTATTGGATTAGTGAATTGAAAACTGCGGGCTATTGTCATATGTGACAGTTTGAACACTTTCTTCAAAAGAAACCCATTTTGGTGTCAATGGAAAAGTTGTAGAGAATCAAAAATCATGCTTATATCCAAATTTTCAGAACGATTCAAAAACTGGTTTTCAAGAAATGCCAAATTTACGAATTTTCACCAAACTTGCATTTTAAGCGAAACTACTAAGTGTATCTTTTTGGAAATTGGGCTATAAGCCTAATTTTTGATTCTCTACAACTTTTCCATTGACACCAAAATGGGTTTCTTTTGAAGAAAGTGCTCAAACTGGGACATCTCCACTCCTCCATTTGTGAGTCTCACACTTGTCTCACACACAAACCAAAATCCTACTACGAAAGAGGAATCGGCAAATTGCCTGTAAAATGGGCAGAAGTCGTCAATAATAATGGAAATTATTTGGAATGAATTTATGGCTTTATGTTCAATAAATTTTAGTTCAAAGTCCCGCAGTTTTCAATTCACCAACCCAATAGATTTAAACTTTAAAAACTTACCTCGATTTCGGAGTTGTTGGCTCGACACGTTTAGTGACCTCTTTGATTGCAGCTGGACTTGGAACTAAATTTGTGAATTTAAAAAAATAATCCAAACAATATCATAAATCCTTTTACAGATGCATATCCCTGATAAACCTAGCTTTATCTCAGCTATTATCATTCCAAAATTTACTCTCATCCCAATCAAAATCGAGTAGATCCGAATAGTCAAGAGTTTTGAATAGATAACTCTCAAATAGTTGAGGGATTTCCATATTCGGTGACAGTTTTTATAGATGCCATTGAAAATTACTGAAATATAGAAAAAAAATGAAAACGACTGGGAAAAATTGATCTTGAACTTGATCGAAAAAGGGAAACACAATAGGATTTAGTGAAAGTAGACAGTCGTTTTTTTGAGCTCGACAGGTTTAGACTTTTTAAGCTCGATTTTATTTGTAAGGTTTTGAAACTTTTAAAACTTGATAAATGCTATGCAAATTCTATTTGGTCTGCTGATTTATTTCAGAATTAAATTAGTTTAGAAGTTCTGTAGAAGACAATTTACAACTCGTTTAGGCGCACGAGGCGGCGTTATCTCTCAAAAACTGGCAAGACTATGAGGCAAGGGAAAAGGAAGGGAAAACAAAGAAACTATTTTTTATCTATGTTTTTGGAGGACTAATGGTGTTTATGGTGAGTCAATGGTTGGATGGAGTTCAAGAAAAAAGCCAAATTTGTTCTCAGTTGCTAAATCCTGATTGAAATAGTAAAACATGGTTATAAAGTCTAAGTCTAAGCTTTTGTATTTTATAAGAAATGAGTGTAAAAGCTGTTTATGATACGAAAGATGAGGATAGGAAATATGAAAATAGCTTGAAATTCGTAGAGAATGGTGGACCAGGAAGTCTGGTGTTGAAAAGGTAAAAAAGTCATATGCTATGGAATGGCTTGCTGTAGGTCCAGGCTTAAATGTGCCAAAATCGAGTCTGAACCTGACTTCTAAACCCGGAAATCGTCTTTTCTCTAGAATATGATATAGATTAGATCTAGAAACTTTCCGTGTGAACGCCAATAGGCGTGCAACGGAAAAATGGCATATTTCGGTCAATTTCACTCCGATATTTTTGATTTTAATATCAATTGACGCAGAATTTAATTTTCCGTTGGACACCAGTTCAAAGGCTTTTATCTGATCGGATCATCATCTGAGGCAATCCGATCCGATGTAATCCGGATTCAATCCATCGGATAGCAAGTCTACTTTGTACTAGACCTCGGAATTTTCGGTGTGTACATCAATAGGCGTGCAACAGAAAAATAGCAATGGCCTTTCTCGGCCAATTTCACTCTAATCTTTTTGATTTTGATATCAATTGATGCAGAATTTAATTTTCTATCGATTGAAATCAAAGACAAAATGATTAGAGAGAAATTGATCAAGATATGGCATTTTTCCGTTGGATACCAGTTTTTCCATTGGACACACCGAAAATTCCTAAATCTAATAGAGATGAGAGTATTCGTAATGTAAAGCATTTTCAATTGCTTTCGAAAAAAAAGGAACTAACCATGTGTGTTCGCAACATTCTCGCTCAACTGCGTCACTCTCTCGAGACTCGCCGGCGGCATCGACGCCTTTCTCGGTGGCACATAGAGCGGGTCGAATTCACGCCAGATCTGGAAAAAAAACGGTATTGTAATGTTTCGAAGAGTTTAACATTTGCTAACTTTCACTTTTGCTCAAGAAATTGAATTAGATTCTTTTTGGGAGTGACTCTGATTGAAAATCGATTGCGCTCACCGAAAAATAGCGTTCGAGGTTTTTGGGGGTCAACGTCAACGCAAAAAAGGAAAAATTTTTAAAACTAACGCTAGTTTCAAGAAAAACTGACTAAATGCTGAAAAAAAGTCAGAAAAATCTACTTTTTAAAGTATAAAATAAATATTTTCTAAGAAAATATCAAAAAATTGAACAATGAAGAAATTGAAATGAAAAATTTCGAATAAGAACAGTAATTTATACTACTGGACAATGAAATATCATATTTGAAAAAAGATCGTCACTTTCGCGCGTCTGTAACTCCCTTGTTTTTGAGTTTAAACTATTAGTGTTATACATTTTCTGAAAGCTCTTTTCAAGGGCTACACAATGGTAATATTAATATTTAGAAATACGGTAAAGACAAAGGAGTTACAGATGCGCGAAAGTGACGATCGTTTTTCAAATATAATATTTCATTGTCCAGTAGTGTAGCTCTGCCATTTCAAATAAAAAATAAAAAAGTCAAAAATTGAGTGGCACGACGGGGGGGGTCGAACCCGGATCGTGTGGTTTGTAGACGAGCGCGCTCACGACTGCGCTAAAAGCTATACCAGTCAGAAAAACATCCAAAACATCTAGCCAGAAAAATTCGCTGTTAGGGGGGTTTTTCGGTTGGTGACTCATAAGAACCGAGTGTGTTACTTCAAAACTGATGTTGGTACTGGACTTAGAACGGGTTTAGAATCAAGTAAAATGAATTGTCCGACTCTAACCAACTAGCTCACACTAAAATTTATTACCATTGTGTAGCCCTTGAAAAGAGCTTTCAGAAAATGTATAACACTAATAGTTTAAACTCAAAGACAAGGGAGTTACAGACGCGCGAAAGTGACGATCGTTTTTCAAATATCATATTTCATTGTCCAGTACTGTATAGCTAATTCTCCTTTAAATTCAATTTACAAACTAAAATTCAATATTTTAAGCCTTTAAAAGAATATCGTTAACAAAGTGAATGTTTTTTAGGTTTTGGGAAACTGATCTGATCCGGGTGCACGTCAAATTTGTGTTCGTTTCTCGAAAACGAAAGATCCCCGCAATGACAGCTGCTCTCTTAGAAAATGAGAGAAAAAACTTCCAAAAAAATTTCGAACAACTCAACCACAGAAAAGAAAAGAAAAGATAAAATGATCTCTAGTAAAAGGAGTAGGTTGGAGTTTGCAGAGTTTCGATCAATATCAAAACTGGTATTGATCGAATCGGTCAATCAGTTGTTTTTGAAGCCGATGACAGATCAAAATAACAAAAAAGGCTGGGGAAATGGGAAAGAACTTGAAAAAAAGGGAATAAGTTGCTTCAAATTGGATTGCCTTTTTCTAAAAGATGAAGAAGCAATTTGGAAAAGTACCGTAATCCTTTATTCAGGCTTTTTCAGATTTACGTAATTAGATCCCATTCGATGAAGAATTAAACTCTGAATTGAATAGAGCAAATTAAATAGGTAAATAGAACGGACAAGCTCTGGAGAAAAGGTTACGGTAACTTTAAAAATTGTCCAGCTTTTCAAAAGAATTGTGGAACCTTTTATACGCGCCCACCCCTTTACCATTGGCTCAACTTTGAGCTTAAATTTCTTGGTGTTGGGCTGTCCAATTTAAATATTCTTAGTATCATTGAATGCGCCAAGTCTTTCTCTGTCGATTGGTACAAAAACTATTGAAATTGGACAGCAGAACACCAAGATATTGCAGCTCAAAGTTGGATTGCCAATGGCAAAGGGGCGGGCTTCCTTTTATACGCGCCCCGCTCTTTTGCCATTGGTAATCCAATTTTGAACTCAAATATCTTGGTGTTCTGTTGTCCAATTTCAATAGTTTTTGTACCAATCGACAGAGAAAACTTGGCGCATCCAATGATATCAAAAATATGTAAATTGGACAGCCCAACACCAAAATATTTGAGCTTAAAGTTGGATTGCCAATGGCGAAGGGGCGGGGCTTATCCGATGTCCGACAACCTTTTAAAAGCGCATTTCTCACGAGGAACACGCTCTAGTGATCAAGTTAACAAAAGTAAATGTATTCTTGATAAAGTTTTCAACTTCGCAAACCCAACGTTCTAGTTGACTGGGACAATCTTACGATTAGAACTTTTTCTATAGATCAATCTTGGGAATCTTTGGCCTGATCTAGCTTTGATCGGAAAAATGATTTGCTTTCATTAACTGCCTAATTCTTTTTCTGATTAAAGAGCCAATACCTCTTGATAACAGTCAGCTTTTTTTAAGCAGTCAAGTCTTTACAATGGCAATGGACGCAAAGCTTTGCCGATCGTTTTAACCTTGTTTCAGCTAGTTTTGGTTTAGAAGAATGTAGAGCTTCTAGCAAAATACAGTCAAATTTAAGGCAAAAATTGAGCGCAGGAATTTGGGCATAATGGCGCCAAGAAAGCGGGAAAGTTCGGTCGCTCTTCCCCCTTACGGATTCCAAAGTTTTTTTTAAGCAGTCAAGTCTTTACCTGCTCCACAGTAGCTACTTCTGCATCTCTCGAATCGGAACTCAAATCAATCAAATCCGCATCTTTACATCTTCTTGGGGATTTGATCATCGAATAGGGAAGATAGAGCTCATGACGCTTCGGAGTGACATACGGATTTGACTCATCGATTGCTGATGGAGAGCTCTCGTTGCTAGGTCCATCCCTGAATGGAATTTATTGACAAACGCAAAATACATATCTTGTTTAGCTATTGAGCTAAACAAACCAGTAAATTTAGGTAAGTGCAAGCTCGTGGCGCTAATCAAACAAAGTCAGGGTTGCTAAGACACTGAAGACTGAAGTTAAGACTGAAGAACCCAGCCTGACCTGGCTACTGGCTTGATCCTGACCTTGCCTGGCTGGAACAGGGGTGTTCGTTCTAGTGTTCTAACCGGTCCAGGGGTTGTAAGTCAAGCTAAACCAAATCCAGACACGGTCAGACTTGTAACAAAGCCAGGGCCAGTCCAGAACCCAGGCTCTGATACGGTTTCTGTCCTGGCTTTACTCCTAGCCTCACCCACAAAAGCTCCAATCCTGAATTGGTGACTAACTTCGGACTTGAACTTGCTCTAATTTCCTCAACATCCTTGTCATCATGTTTTGCGCACGAGCAGAAATAGCATAACCAATCCCAATTACAATCGCAAGGCATCTTATTTACTGATCATTTTTTTGGTATTCCACGAAAAAAACGAATCAAATAACAGAATAGGAATGCAGAAGAAGACAGAAGAAGAGTTCTTTTGGCACAGAAACGTGATTCAAAAGTTTTGTCGGCAGCCTTGCTTTTTCTTTTTCCCCAATTTTTCACCCCCTTCCCACCACATAAAAGAGGGCATATTTGGACAGCCGATGCTGATGAAAAATGGCTATAGAAAAATGCGTGCCTAGTATTTGCAAGAATGGTATCCGGATTTTATGAGTTGGACAGTCCTTTTATGGGTTGAGACTGGGAATACAAAACACGGTCGGCGCCGGGATTCGAACCCGAGACCTGTTGTTTACCGGGCGAACGCTCTACCAATGAGTTACACCGACATGTATCCCATTGCCGCCAGGGTAGGGCCTAATACTTAAGCAGCCCGGACAATCATAGCTTTAGAATCTATAGGCTAGCCCGGGCTTTAGGATTTGTAGGTTAGCCCGAGCTTTAGGATCTGTAGGTTAGCCAGGGTCTAGCCAGGGTCTAGCCAGGGTCTAGCCAGGGTCTAGCCAGGGTCTAGCCAGGGTCTAGCCAGGGTCTAGCCAGGGTCTAGCCAGGGTCTAGCCAGGGGTCTAGCCAGGGTCTAGCCAGGGGTCTAGCCAGGGTCTAGCCAGGGTCTAGCCAGGGTCTAGCCAGGGTCTAGCCAGGGTCTAGCCAGGGTCTAGCCAGGGGTCTAGCCAGGGTCTAGCCAGGGTCTAGCCAGGGTCTAGCCAGGGGTCTAGCCAGGGTCTAGCCAGGGTCTAGCCAGGGTCTAGCCAGGGTCTAGCCAGGGTCTAGCCAGGGTCTAGCCAGGGTCTAGCCAGGGTCTAGCCAGGGTCTAGCCAGGGTCTAGCCAGGGGTCTAGCCAGGGGTCTAGCCAGGGTCTAGCCAGGGTCTAGCCAGGGTCTAGCCAGGGTCTAGCCAGGGTCTAGCCAGGGTCTAGCCAGGGTCTAGCCAGGGTCTAGCCAGGGTCTAGCCAGGGTCTAGCCAGGGTCTAGCCAGGGTCTAGCCAGGGTCTAGCCAGGGTCCAGCCAGGGTCTAGCCAGGGTCTAGCCAGGGTCTAGCCAGGGTCTAGCCAGGGTCTAGCCAGGGGTCTAGCCAGGGTCTAGCCAGGGTCTAGCCAGGGTCTAGCCAGGGTCTAGCCAGGGTCTAGCCAGGGTCTAGCCAGGGTCTAGCCAGGGTCTAGCCAGGGGTCTAGCCAGGGTCTAGCCAGGGTCTAGCCAGGGGTCTAGCCAGGGTCTAGCCAGGGTCTAGCCAGGGTCTAGCCAGGGTCTAGCCAGGGTCTAGCCAGGGTCTAGCCAGGGTCTAGCCAGGGTCTAGCCAGGGTCTAGCCAGGGTCTAGCCAGGGTCTAGCCAGGGTCTAGCCAGGGTCTAGCCAGGGTCTAGCCAGGGTCTAGCCAGGGTCTAGCCAGGGTCTAGCCAGGGTCTAGCCAGGGCTAACTTCTGGTAGGAGCAGGAACTTTCTGTGGGTCAGGCCTGCAGAAAAACCAGAACCTATCTTACAATTAGCCTTTCTTCACCCGAAAAATGACTTTGGAAAGAACTCTGAAGTTGTTAGACCCAATTCATCTTGTACAATTTATGATAGTACAAACTCTGGAGTTGTTAGTCCAGTAATTTCAGTATATAAACAATTTATATAATTTATGCTAGATCAAATCCATCTTGTACAATTTATGTTGTAAGATTCTAAATGTCTAAATCTTGCTTAGAGACATCATTAGCTTCGATTTTATTGGGTTAGCAAGAAAGTTTGTAGAAAAAATTTGAACAGTGATTTCTCAAAAAGGAAGCCATGAATCCTTCCCAAATTTTTCTGATAAACTTGACTTTATTTCAAAAAGTTTTTGACAAAAAATCAGGGTCGGCTTCAGGTGAAAATAAGAGATTTCTTCAGCGAAGAGATTTCTTCAGCTGAAGTAACTTGGTCACTTTTTGAGTGATCAGCTTTTAGACAAGTTTTTAATGAGTTAATGGATAGGTAATGGATCCATTCAGAACCTCAAAATGAAGTTCTTAAAACAGAAAATTTGCAATTAAGGCTAATTGTGATTAAGGCTAATTGTGATTAAGGCAAATTTTATCTAAATTCTTGGAGTTGACTTGTAAATAATAGAGCAAAGTGTTCTGAATTGGTGATCGTTTTTCAGAAGTTCCAGCTCAAATCTATGCAAAGTCTTTCTTGTTAATCTAATATTTGCTAAATTAAGAAGTGCTTACCTATTCCTAAACGTATCGATGCTTTTATGTGCAGGCATTGGGCTGAATTGAACCTTCCATGGCAGAGCTGGGAGTGTTCCTCTCGGCGATGGACTGAGCACAAAAGCTAAAGCGAACAATAAGCCATGAAAATATGCTTTAAATAAAAAAATTGCTTTAATAAAATAGAATAGAATAGAAAGTTAATAGAATCTATTTTAAATTTCAACCCGGATTTATCATCAATTGACTTTGAATGGGTCTTGCAGAAGTTGGAGTCGAGAAGCCCGATGTTGGCAACATTGTGTTAAGCGAATAGGAGTTTGGTGGAGAGATTATTCTAAAATTTCGATGTTAAAAGTATTGAATTAAATTAGTTCTTTAAAAGAATTAAGAATTAGATAGATATACCCGTTTAGATTGAATTAGATAGTTTTATATATAGTATAAAACTATCTAATCCAATCTATACTATATATAAAACTATCTAATCCAATCTAATGAATGAATCAGTTCAAAAATCCGATTATCACTTCTCGAAATGATGATAGTCTTGAGAAAGATAAAAGCAAAATTTCTTGCGCAAGAAATGATCATTTCTGTGTTTTATGTTATTTCCTTTTTCTTTTTACCTTTGTGGAATTTGAATCGGCATTGTAGTGTTCCGAGATTGCGCTGGATTCTTTCGTGGATGGAGAGGAGGAGCTCCAGCAGCTTGTTGAACACCAGCTGAAAATATGGTTAACAAGTTTGAATCATAGGTTTTCCCCTGTAAATCTGACTAGATAGACTAGATAAATTGTGAATCTGATTTTTGTGTTCCTTTAGAGTAAAACTAACAAGCTAGTAGGATTAGAGTTCAATAATTGAACAAAAAATATTGGGTTCGTGAATTGAAAACTGCGGGCTATTGTCATATGTGACAGTTTGAGCACTTTCTTCAAAAGAAACCCATTTTGGTGTCAATGGAAAAGTTGTAGAGAATCAAAAATTAAGCTTATATCCAAATTTTCAGAGCGATTCAAAAACTGGTTTTCAAGAAATGCCAAATTTACGAATTTTCACCAAACTTGCAACAAAACTTGCATTTTAAGCGAAACTACTAAGTGAATCTTTTTGGAAATTTGGCTATAAGCCTAATTTTTGATTCTCTACAACTTTTCTATTGACACCAAAATGGGTTTCTTTTGAAGAAAGTGCTCAAACTGGGCTGACAGCTGACATCTCCAGTCCTCGATTTTTGAGTCTCACACTTGTCTCACACACAAACCAAAATCCTACTAAGAAAGAGGAATCCGCAAATTGCCTGTAAAATGGGCAGAAGTCGTCAATAATAATGGAAATTATTTCGAATGAATTGATGGTTTTATGTTGAATAAATTTTAGTTCAAAGTCCGGCAGTTTTCAATTCACGAACCTCATAAATTTGAATTCAGACTGTCGACTTTAAGAGCTTCAGCTTTAAAAGCTTAAAAGCGACTCTTAGAAAAAAATCTCACTTTACTTGATCTTTAGGTTCAAAAGAGTGTCCTATACGCGATTTTCTTCAAACTAGGTCAATCAATTCTGCCTTGACTCACTATATTACCTAAGCCAGCCAGCCAGATCCGGTCTGGCTTAAGACAATGCTGAAGAACTTAGCCTGACCTGGCTTCTGGCTTGATCCTGACCTTACCTGGCTGGAAAAGGAGTGTTCCTTCTAGTGTTCTAACCGGTCCAAGGCTTGTAAGTCAAGCTAAACCAAATCCAGACACGGTCAGACTTGTAACTAGGTCTGGTTCTGTTCTGCACCTGGTTTTGGTTTGTTTTGTAGAACCAAGATCATCATCAAGATCTTGTAGAGCCTCCTTAGCACTACAAAAGTATAAGATCGACTTACATGGCCCCGGAAATTGTGGATTCGGTGGAAAGGGAGAGGAGGGTAACGAGCCGGCGCTTTGACTATGCGGCATAAACGCTGGATTCCAACCATAGGCCACCGGTGAACTGAAAATCTTTCATTCCTATTTCACAAACTTTTCCTATCCTTCGCTAGGCGAAAATCGAAAAAAACGAACTCACTTGAGTAATTGCTGTATCTTGGTGAGTTTCTCTTGTTGTTTGACCGCCTCGGGGTTCTCGAAGGAGATCAAGTTCACCTCATGCAAACGCCGCATTTGTTCCTCATCTTCGAAAGTTTTTCTGGAATATACGTCTTTGAGGCTATTATGTTTCGTACATTTGAACTGCAAGAATATTTTTTGACTGCTTTTTGTATTGTTGGTTTGACTGTTGTTTAATTAATGCAATGGTTTGACAAGCAATGGACATAATGGCAATGGACGCAGTGGCAATGGACATGATGGCAATGGACATGATGGCAATGGACATGATGGCAATGGACATGATGGCAATGGACGCAATGGCAATGGACATGATGGCAATGGACGCAATGGCAATGGACATGATGGCAATGGACATGATGGCCATGGACATAATGGCAATGGACGCAAAGCTTTACCGTTCGTTTTAACCTTGTTTCAGCTAGTTTTGGTTTAGAAGAATGTAGAGCTTCTAGTAAAATATAGCCAAATTTAAGGCAAAAATTGAGCTCAGGAATTTGGGCATAATGGCGCCAAGAAAGCGGGAAAGTTCAGTCGCTCTTCCCCCTACGGATTCCAAAAGGGAAGCACTTTATACCAGAGAGATTTGCCAGATGGCAAGCGATTACGCGCCCGCAAAGAACACCTTGTCGGTCATTTGCATAGAATTTTTCTTTCGCTTTATAGATGGCGTAAAAAGAAGATATTTAGCTGTAAATTTGTACCCGGGGGTTTTCTGGATCGAGGAATCGATTGGAGCGATTCATTTTATTGAGTCTACTAATTAGAACTAGCGTTTAGTTGGTTTAAATTTTTAGAGAAAACTCAGAGACTTATTAGCAGGCTATTTTGGCTATGTTGATCTGGATGGTTGGCTATATTGAGCTAAATATTGTGCTAGTTTTCGGATGGTACGAGATGAGACATCGGCACAAATATGTATGATTGCTTGTACAGTATTGCCTTTTTCTAAAACCCACTTGCTCAGCTCGAGCGCCAATCGGAGCTCTTCGTCTTCGTCCACCATTTTTCTCTTTTAGATGGAATTTATAGCATAATAACTGAAAATGGTACCTTTTTGATACAATTACAATTGCAATAGATAAATTGCAATAGATAAGATAAACAAGAATAGATAAATTCAATCCTAAAAGGCTTAATTGGCTTCATTGGCTCAATGTTTTTCAATAGAAATTTTAAGCATTCTAATTGTGAGAGACGATAGATAGTAATTGAAGAAAAAGATTTAATTGAAGAGTGTGCCAAAAAAAGGCAAAAAAGGCAAAAACGGCAAAAAAAGGCAAAAAAGGCAAACAATTTCGTAAACAACACAAATAAACAAGCTACATTTGCGCTAAAGTTACTTAAAATCACTAGTTATTGCCTAAAGCTGAAAGTTAAAACCAAAAACTCGCTAAACTTTCGTTTCAAACAACAATTATTCATGAAATTCTTGTAATTTATTTGAAACATTTATTTGAAATCAATAAAAAAGTCATAATTTCAAAAGTTTTCTCAAATTTTCTCTCGAAATTTTGTCTCGAACGGGCGTTCCAATTAACTATTTCTCCAAAAATGACTCACAAATGGCACAGTCAAAAATTGCGCAAAAGAACACCAGAAATGATTGGGATTTTTTTGAAAATGAACAATGTGACACCATAGAAACGATGCAAGATAACGGGATGCAATGAAAAAAAACGGGAATGGATAAGGATACAGTATCTCTTATCAAAAAGACAATCCTTTCTTGTCGAGACCAAAAAGGCGACCTTCTCCCCTCTCCGTTCTCCAATTTGAGGCTGTAACCGATTCGGGAAATTTCCTTTTCCCCATTTTTTGGCCTCTCAAAAGCCTCTCAAAGTTTATTTTTGTTTTCATTGATCGCTGAAAAGATTAATGAATATTTTGGCAGATTTTTAAAGCTCTTTTTGGCGCTAATTGGCTTGGCTATTTGGCTCTAAATTTTGACCTTTTTGGACAAATGACATTCAGCTTTTCAGTCTTTTCGACATTTGTTCGACATTTTCGACATTCACTTCAGCTCTTTCATTCCTCTCCTGAACAATACGTCATTTGTCTTTTGATTTAAAAGCCATTAAATCTATTGTTTTCCAAATTTTACTCTGAAGCTTGAAGCTTGAAGGTCATTGGTTGTATAAAATGATTAGTTAGTTAGTAGTTACGATTGATTAAAATGATTCTGTTAGTAATTACGATTGATTAAAATGATTCTGTTAGTAGTTACGATTGATTAAAATGATTCTGTTGGTAGTTACGATTGATTAAAATGATTCTGTTAATAGTTACGATTGATTAAAATGATTCTGTTAGTAGTTACGATTGATTAAAATGATTCTGTTAGTAATTACGATTGATTAAAATGATTCTGTTAGTAGTTACGATTGATTAAAATGATTCTGTTAGTAGTTACGATTGATTAAAATGATTCTGTTAGTAATTACGATTATAATTTTGTAGTTCGCTTATAGTTAGTTAGCTTTTTGTTTGTTTTTTTTCTTTTTCAATAGATGCGATTAGACAGAGCGATTTCTAAAAGTTTTCCCAACCAAAAGCTATCATAATCCTACATAATCGTTGAGTCTTTGACGGGATTTCGGTTGTACTTGATCCAAAGAAGCGGTGAAAGTTGTTGGTGGCTCTGTTTCGGTTGTTGTGAATCCTCCAATCGTGCTTGGCTCTTTTGTGGAAGCACTTGAAACGACGGTTGATTGAGTCTTGAACTTCTTTTCACTTCTTTCACTCCTCGCTGAACAATACGTCATTTGTCTTTTGATTTAAAAGCTATTAAAGCTATTGTTTAGCTACAATAGCTATTAAAGCTATTGTTTTCCAAATTGTACTCTTGATGCTTGAAGCTTGAATTGTATTTTGGTTGGTTGTTGGTCATTGGTTGTATAAAATGATTAGATTTCTGTTAGTAGTTACGATTATAATTTTGTAGTTCGCTTATAGTTAGTTTTATTTGTTTTTTTTTCTTTTTCAATAGATGCGATTAGACAGAGCGATTTCTAAAAGTTTTCCCAACCAAAAGCTACCGTAATCCTACATAATCGCAAGCTTTTCTGATGAAAGCAGCTAAATTATATCTGTTTAAACTATTTTATAGCTAAATGAGCTAAGCTAATGATATTTGTTCAAACTAGGATGAGTTCATGAAAAGTTTCTCCTCTGTAGAGGAGGAACTTTGTGAATAAACAGGGCGGTGCCTACTTTTCGCCAAATTTTTTGGACAACTGGGTCATTTGCGCAACTAGGTCTTTTGCGCAACTCGCCATAACTTCCTTCTACTTCCTTCAATCTTTATGATTTTAGTGTTATTTTGTAGATCTCAACAAGTGCAACAAAATGACATTAGAATCATAAAGATTAGCCCACTTAGAAGAGAGTTATGGTGAGTTGTGCAAAAAATCAGGTGCGATGGAGCCACCCCTTCCCACCCTCCGTTCCCACGAGGAGAGACGGATTTTGATAATTTTCTCATCAATGAATTCAGCACATTTCTCTCCTTTGAATGGCTATTCAAACGTAAAAATCCTATAGAAAACGCATTTTCTGTAGATCGGTAGGCTAGCCAGGGATTTAGGATCTGTAGGCTAGCCAGGGCTTAGCCAGGGCTTACAAAGAGATGCCACAAGATGTCCGTGAAAGATTTTGATGCCGTTGAGATGCAAACGCCTATCGGACATGGGAAATCCGATGCTGTATTCAGTTTTTGCCCATATTCAAAAACAGGCGAGAAAAACGTGTCCAAAGTTTGGGTGTCTATTCGCGGAAATCGTGCTGGGAGGTTATAAAGGCTCTTTTCCGACCCTTGAAATTTGGCCAAATGGCATAGTGGTAAGGGCGTGTACCCGATCTTCTACTACTTTCCTTCTCTATTCTTGATAAATTTTGCGTGTCCATTTAGTCATTTGCGAATAAAGTAGATATAGAAATAAAGTATTCTTAAAAGAACGGCATCCTTAAAAGAACGGTATCCTTAAAAGTACAGTACTCTTAAAAGTACAGTACCCTTATTACAGTATTCGTTTGAATACAGTATCTCTATTCAGACAGTACTTTGATAAAAATGATAATTATATAATAATTTATTTTGATCCCATCAATCGAAAAAATGTAAATCGAAAATGGGTTGGGGCGGGGAATACAAAACACGGCCGGCAGGGAATACAAAACACGGGAAATCCGATGCTGTATTCAGTTTTTGCCCATATTCAAAAACAGGCGAGGAAAACGTGTCCAAAGTGTGGGTGTCTATTCGCGAAAATCGTGCGGTTATAAAGGCTCTTTTCCGACTTTTGATAAATATGATAATTATATAATACTCTATATAATATTAGTTTGAGGAAAAAGTAATGTCGGTTTTTGTAACAAAACTGTTTATTGCTAAAAACATAAACAAACGCACATCAATCAATTCTCCATTATTGATGACTTGTTCCTATCTTCTTCGCAAATCCCTGATCCCATCCTCAAAAAAATGGGGAGTTTTCGAGCCAAAATAAGTGCCGACTGCTTTTTTTTGATCTGTGCATGATTCTCGAACTTTTCTCCCATAAGAAAACTCTTCAACGACCGAAACAAAAAATGATCTGATGGGGCCGGTCCGGCAGGTCCGGACCAAAAGGTGCGTGGGGCAGAAGTTTCCAACTAAGCTCGTCGATTTTTTCGTGAGTGATTTTTGCACTATGAGGTTTTGCATTAGCATGCAAAAATAGTACTTTTGATTTTCAACACCCAATTTCTTTAAAGCCTCGTTAACTCTCATCAACTGTTTTGAATAAAGATCAGCGGTGACAGTTTCTCCCGGATTCAACAACTCATAATGCACCAAACCTTTTGTATTCCACCAACAGCGAAGCATAAGTTTCTTTCCATGAATATCGGGGTTTGAAGTTGATTGTGAGGGTTGAACTAGAGAAAGCCACTGATTTTTGCGCTTCACATTCCCATATTCCGCTTCACCTTCCCAAAAGGGTGGAGTTTTCGAGCCAAAATAAGTGTCGACTGCTTTTTTTGATCTGTGCCTGATTCTCGAACTTTTCTCCCATAAGAAAACTCTTCAAGGACCGAAACAAAAAATGATCTGATGGGGCCGGTCCGGCAGGTCCGGACCAAAAGGTGCGTGGGGCAGAAGTTTCCAACCAAGCTCGTCGATTTCCCTTGTTTAAAATCATACCACAAAGCGGCTCGAAGTCAAAACTTTTCGTCTTCGAGCCCTGAAACCTGAAAATATTGTTAAATTTGTGAAAGTCAAATTTAATATGAAAGTATAGAGTGTCTAGCTGATATCTCTTTTAAAAAAATCGCAAAGAACTGGAAAATTGCCAACAATGGGAATTCAAAACCGACACTACTTTTTCCTCAACCTAATATTAGAGAAAATATGTTGTGTCCGATTTAGATTTCCGTCCGATTTAGATTGAACTTATCGCGGACGTCCGATTTAGATTACAGTCTATATCGGACGTCCGATTTAGATTCAATCTAAATCTTATATAGATTGAACAATAATATAAACATGCTTAATATATGTTCTTAAGCGTTTTCTGCATTTTTCAAAGGTCTTTTATTGATTACATTCTATATCGGACGTCCGATACAGATCGAACAATAATAAACGTGCTTAATATATGTTCTTAAGGTTTTTTTTGCAATTTTCTGCGCTTTTCAAAGAAATTTTATTGTCGATATTAAGCACGTTTATTATTGTTCGATCTGTATCGGACGTCCGATATAGACTGTAATCTAAATCGGACGTCCGCGATAAGTTCAATCTAAATCGGACACAACATATATATATATGCTTTATTCATGCGTCGTCCTAAGGCGCAACCAGAATTTCAAAGCCTCTTGAAAACTGTGGAAATTCCTAGAAGTCCACGTAATGACCCCTATCAAATTTCGGTCGGCTCCCATTCCCATCATCTAATAATTTATTTTGATGGAATCAATCGAAAAAATGCAATTAAAGGATCACAAAAAAGTCCGTTTCATATCGATTCCCTTCCAAAAAAAGCTTTCTTGTTGACGAAAATTGGTAAGAGTTTTTCCCACGAAACTTTTATGACTAAATCTTGAGCGATAAAACCTTTCGATTGCTTCAATTATCTTGATTTTTGAACAAAAAGCGGATTTCTGTTTTTTTGAAAGAAATTTTAATGAATCAAAAGCAAAGTTTTGATTCTCTAGAGACTCACAAATTGGGATTTTCATTTAAAATTGGGATTTTCATTCCAAATTGTAATTTTTTTCAAATTTAATTCACAAAATCCCAATTCCCATCGTTACCTAACTTGTTTTTGAAAGAAAATTAGTGTCAGAGTTTTGCAGAAAAATTACTGTAAACATTAAGTTGACTCTCAGAACTTTTCTGTTATTCAAGAGAAACTTTTCGCTTCTGAAAACAGCATTTAATTACGCAAAAGCTTTGAAAATGTATCGATTTCTCTTTTCAATGGTTGCAATTATCTGCTGAATCAGTAAAGCTTTCAAAACTCTCAGAACTTTTCTGTTATTTAAGAGAAACTCTAGAGAAACTCGCTCTTGAAAACAGCATTCAATTAAGTTCAGAATTCAGTTTAGAATTAAGTTCAAAAGCTCTAAAAATCTATCGATTTCTCTTTTCAATAGTTGTAATTATCTAGTGAATCAGTAAAGCTTTCAAAACTCTCAGAACTTTTTTGTTATTCAAGAGAAACTTTTCGCTCTTGTAAACAGCATTCAATTAAGTTCAGAATTCAGTTCAAAAGCTTTAAAAATGTATTGATTTCTCTTCTCAATGGTTGTAATTATCTGCTGAACCAGTAAACCTTTCAAAACTCTCAGAACTTTTCTGTTATTTAAGCGAAAGCCTCAATTTTCCCTCAAAAATCTTCAGTTTAATTCTTGGTTTCCTTTTCGAATTCAAAATTGCTTTGAAATACCATTTTTGAAAGCAATTTTCCACCTGATCCTTCTGGAGAATCTTCAAGAAACATCTGCCATTTTTTTTTCAAAACTATTACCTGCCATTAGCTAATCAAATTGATTGATATTTTCTTGAAGAAATTTTATCAATGAATCAAAACAAAAGAGGAAATCATTCCCGGATTGCGCACCAAGAAATTAAATCCATAAAAACTTTGTTTATTCATTTATTTGTTTATTCATTGAGTATAAAATGCAAAAAACTAAACCTTTTATCAAAAGTAGTAGTTCTAAAATCTCAAATATACAATCCTCAGCTCTACGAACAACTAGATTTGATTACTAACAACTATTAACAACTAGAACTACTAACAACTGTACTTTTTGCTCAACATTGTAAACCCCTTCATTTTTGCTATTTGCTATCTTAAAGAAAGAATGACTGATACGGTGAAAATGAGATAGATTTGAAAAAAACATATCGTCCATCAAATTGAAATTGAATTTTTCAATTCCTATTGGTTATTTAGGGGTTATTATCTAGGGGTTATTATCTAGGGGTTATTTTTGACGCTGATCACGAAACACATGTTTTTAGCCTAGGTTTCTGCACGGAAAACTAACGAAACGTGAAAACAGCCATTTTTTTTTTGGCTCTGCCGCCCTTTACTAAAATAGCTGTAAAAACTTTTAGAAAAGAGATATCTCAAAACGGTTTTTACCAATCGATCCGTCTTGAATTCAGCTTTAGGATGAGCTATAAAACGTCAAAATTGCGACAAACTTAAGGTACTCTCCCAAAAAATCCGAAAGGACTTTTCCACCAACCCAATACTTTACAAGCCACCATCGTGCAATTAGCTGTAAAATGCTAGAAATTTTCGTTTCATTTGACATTTGACGTTTCGTCTTTTGATTTTGGCTTATACAAAGATTCAAAGTGTTTTTTAGAGCTCTAAAACTCTAGCTAAAACTCCAGCTAAAACTCCAGCTAAAACTCTAGCTCTAAAAAAACACTTTGAATCTTTGTGTAAGCCTTTGAACCAAGTTTTCAAAAGTTTTCAAAAGTTTTCATAGAACTAAATTGCATACGGAAATTAGGGCTCTTGGAATCATCCCGGCTCTCCAAAAGAGTTGTTACGCTTTGAAAATCGATAATTTTATCTATTTTCTATTAGATTTTTCTATTAGAATTCTAAAGTATTCTTTATAAAAATATATAAAAATTAATTAACATTGTTAACTGTTTTTTTCCGGGACAAGAAAAGAGAAAAAATTTAGCCCAATTTTGTTAAATGAAGTTTTTTTGTTTTTTTTTTGTTTGTCTGCCTGTCTGTCAAGCATCTTACTTTTAGTGTAATTGGGTAGAGAATGAAAAGAATGAGGTATGTGAATTCAAGGATTGATTTTAATATTCAACAGAAGAGCACTTTTTCTGCAATAAAGATCCTGGCTTCAGACTAGGCTTTGCACTTTCCAGCTCTACTAGACTTAGGAGTTGGTTCCAACGCCGATACCCCTCATCTCTAGTACTTACTACTCTAAAACAAAAAGCTTTCTCCCCGGCCGGGAACTGAACCCGGGTCTCGCATGTGACAGACGCGGATACTAACCACTATACTACGGAGGAACGATAGGCTGGGCTGATATTTCTATTTGGATTTTGGGTTGGATAGTTGGGAATAAAATAGGAAATTCTTTAGATAGGCAATTCGGTAAATGGCTCGCGGCTCGACCCGTCGACTCACTCGAATAGAAACAAATCCTGGGTCAATTTTCACAATTGAGACATCATTTGGTAGCTAAGAATCTCTATTTTTAATAAATTTATCCAATGCTAATGTTTATAAGTTGTGCAAAAAATTTGGCGTAAAGTAGCCATCCCCGTAAGCTCATGCCCACGGGATGGGATGTGTTTGAGATTTGATACCTATTTGATAACTATTTAATTCCTATTTGGCAACTATTTGATACCTATCTAGTAACTATTAGATAACAGTTTAATATCTATTTGGTAACGATGGATACCTATTTGGTACCTATTTGATACCTATTTGATACCTATTTGCTCGTTATTTGGCAACTATTTGTTATCTTTTTGCTAACTATTTGATACCTATTTGGTAGCTATTTGTTACCTTTTTGGTAGCTATTAGATACCGGTTTGGTATCTATTTGATACCTATTTGGTAACGATTGGATACCTATTTGATAACTATTTGATAACTATTTAATTCCTATTTGGTAACTATTTGATGCCTATTTGCTCGTTATTTGGCAACTATTTGTTACCTATTTGGTAACGATTGGATACCTATTTGGTAACTATTTGATAACTATTTGGTAACTATTTAATTCCTATTTGGTAACTATTTAATTCCTATTTGGTAACTATTTGATACCTATGTGGTAACTATTAGATATCTGTTTGGTAGCTATTAGATACCAGTTTGGTATCTATTTGATACCTATTTGATACCTATTTGATACCTATTTGATACCTATTTGATACCTATTTGATACCTATTTGGTAACTGTTAGATAACAGTTCGATATCTATTTGATATCTATTTGCTCGTTATTTGGCAACTATTTGTTACCTTTTTGCTAACTATTTGATACCTATTTGGTAACGATTGGATATCTATTTGGTAACCATTTGATACCTATTTGATACCTATTTGATAACTATTTAATTCCTATTTGGTAACTATTTGATACCTATCTAGTAACTATTTTATACCTGTTCAGTATCTATTTGATAACTATTTGAATTACCGGAGAATTACCGGAGAATTATATTTCGTACGAAATATAATTCTCCAGAACTGAACAAGTTCGGAAAAAGCTTCAATTTCCCGTCCACAACTCTAGTTCACAATAATATTGACTTTGGACAAAGTTATGAATCTACATGTATGACTATTTATTCAAAAATTGAAAAGAATCGACTAGAACTGACTGACTGACGACTAGAGCTGACTAAAAGAACCGACTTTAGTCCTACCTACACTCGATTGACGTCATAGTGACTCGTTTGGATAAATCTAACTATAAAATGTGTTTTTCTATGTTCTTTTATGTTCTTCTATCCATATTCTTTCCACTTTTTCTAAAAAATTAACCGTAGTCTTTGAAGAACTACAAAATTGTACCTTGAGTCTTTTGCCGTCACACGCGATTGATCGCTATTTTAGAGAGCGGACGACATGTGACATTTTGAGTTTGACCTTTATTTAAAATGTACTCATAAATCAATCCTGAGTCTTTTTTGAAGAGCATTTATTTTTTATTATGCTCATCATCTCTTTCGAAACTATTCTCTGAGTTTCTGAGTTTTCTCTCTTCTCTACAATATTTCCAAAATTTCAGGTATGTCGAATCATTCCGCCGAAAATTCAAATCAACGACCTAAAGCTTATGAAATTGTCACTGAAGAAGCTGAGGCTTACGAGAGAGAGATCGAGAACTGTCTACAAGATTCATCTACTAACACAAAAGTCCCACTTCCAAAGTTAAGCCAATCCGAGAAAGCCTCAAATGAGCTAGATGAAGATCTTGAACATGAAAAAGTTCTCAAGAAACCACCACGAAATCCAATCAGAAAACTCTTCAACTGTATGTTTAGAAGAAACAAATCAAAGCCAAGAAAAACTTCCTGTTACACAGCTTTAACAAATGAGAAAAGCTTTTGGGGTTTGACTTCAAATTCATTCGATGAATCAACTCTAGAAAGCTCAAAGGCTTTCCTCCCGGAATCAGCTATAGACAAACAAATTGATCGGGATTTCGATGATTTGATGAGAGTTCAGATGAACTTGAAAGGCTGCGGATTGAATTCGGATGCGACAACAGAACTGCAACAACGCGATTACATTCTTGATAAAATCACGAAGAAATCGAAGAGCTGTGAGGAGATGGTTTATGCTGAGGAACGGGTGCTGAAACGATTTGAGCACATCAAACATCATGGTTGGGTGGATGGACGGGAAAAGAAGTGAAGACGAGTCGATTCTAGTGGTTTTCCAGGTTTTATTTGAATACTTTACCAGAGTTGCTTCAAAGTTTTTAACTTCTTAGCCAAAGCCAAAGCCAAAGCCAAAGCCAAAGCTGAAGTTGAGCCAAAGCTAGCCAAAGCCAAAGCCAAAGCCAAATCCAAAGCCAAAGCCAAAGCCAAAGCTGAAGTTGAAGCCAAAGCTGAAGCCAAAGCCAAAGCCAAAGCCAAATCCAAAGCCAAAGCCAAACAAATCTCAGCTAATTTCAATCTTTGAAGCAATCCTGGCTTTCGTTAGGTATTCGATAGCAATCATTACATCCAGAATGGTAATTGTTGATGTAAACTTTTGGGTTCTTCATTTTGAGATCTTTTCTAGCATTTTCCACTATTAAATCATTACTTTTAGATAAGAAAAGCAAGACTTAGTGTACTACAGGGTGTTTCAATATTTATGGAGACAATATTACTAGGTTTAGAGCTCATTTTGTACAAGTTTAATGCTAAAAAGGAAACACACTTATCAATAAGTCGAGTTTGTTCCAACTCCTTTACAGTGCTTTCTTCACGATTTTTTTCAATTCGAAACAATTTTGAGAGCGTTAAACGACAAGAACAAGAGCCCGCGAGCTCAAAAGTCTCCATAAATATTGAACACCCTGTATATTGGATTTTATACTTTTCTAAGTTTTGCTTTTGAAAGTTATCGTCAGCCATCACATCCTAGGTGTTTGCAAAACGGTTTTCACAGATTCGTTGTCACAATCGAAACTTTCCTGACTATTTAAACTTAATTCTTTTGATATTTAGATTATTTAGCTTTAAATCTGGTCATCTAGCACATTTACCCAATTTTATGTCGCCCCTAACTAGTAAATGATCAAAAAGTGAAGCTAGTAAGCGTAGCTGCTTCATTTTCTCGCCCAGAAGCAAGCTTCAGTGTTCTACAGAGGAGATGTTCTTTGAAAATTGAAAATTGAAAAAGCAATACTATGACATGATAGATGATAAAATTTCATTTCTGCTAAAATGCTAAAAACTTGATCATTTCCCACTCTATAAAACTCTAAAAGGTTACGAAAGGCTCAGAAAGCCAAAATTTGGATAGAATTTGGCTCAGAAAGCCAAAAGTTATATAGAATTTCGCTCATAAACCCAAAAGTTATATAGAATTTGGCTTAGAAAGCCAAATTTTGGACAGAATTTGGCTCAGAAACCGAAAAGTTCTATGAAACTTGGCTCAGAAAGCCAAATTTTGGACAGAATTTGGCTTAGAAACCCAAAAGTTATATAGAATTTGGCTCAGAAAGCCAAATTTTGGACCGAATTTGGCTTAGAAACCCAAAAGTTATATAGAATTTGGCTTAGAAGGCCAAAATTTGAATAGAATTTCGCTCAGAAAGCCAATTTCTATACAACTTTCGGCATGAAAAACTCGTTCATGAGTTTTTTTGTACCAAAAGTACAAAAAATGTTCATTTTTTCAATTTAAACGTTTAATTCATGTTTATTTTTTAAAATTTTAAACTTTAAAACTTCTACTTGATAAAATCTACTTTTTTGTCGTCTCTAATTTGCCCTCAAAAGCTTGATTCATTTTCTTTCACTGTAAAACACCCAATTACCAGTTAAACCTTTTGAATTTGAAGTTTTATCCAACAATTATCTCCCCAGACAACAAAGTTCTTTTGTAATTTGAAAAGAGCTCATTTGTATCGAAATTCAAACTGAATCCATTTACTTTTTGGTTCAAAAACAAGGGAATTTGGGTTTTTGATTTGATTTTTGACCATTGCAAGGAATTCTCAATTAATTCTCGATTCAAATTCTTAATCAAGTTCTTAATCAGGTTCTGAATCAATTCTCGATTCAAATTCTCTATCAAATTCTGAATCAAGTTCTTAATCGAATTCTCAATCAAATTCTCAAGCAAATTCTGAATCAAGTTCTCCATCAAATTCTCCATCAAATTCTCAATCAACTTCCCCATCAACTTCTCCATCAACTTCTCCATCAAATTCTCAATCAACTTCCCCATCAACTTCTCCATCAACTTCTCCATCAACTTCTCCATCAACTTCTCCATCAACTTCTCCATCAATTTCTCCATCAACTTCTCCATCAACTTCTCCATCAACTTCTCCATCAACTTCTCCATCAACTTCTCCATCAACTTCTCCATCAAATTCTCCATCAAACTCTCCATCAAATTCTCAATCAACTTCCCCATCAAACTTGCTTTTAAATCTCCATCATGTCAAAAAACTTTCGCAAAAGAGATTCTTGGCTTACCGCTTGTGAGATTTTTGACGGTTTCTACAATCGAGAACTCGAGAAATCTTATAATCAATCTCTATTAGCTAAAGGAACACTAGAAATTTCATCTAGTGAAAGTTTACCGAACATTTTCTTCTCTGACCAACTTCACCTTCGTGCTCCGTCACAATCTTTTTTAAAAAAGATATTCAGTCGGAAAGTCACTAATAAAAGCAAAGAATCATTTTCTATTACAAGGACGCCATCCATGATGTCTCTAGACATTTCTAGAATCAGAAAAGATTTGAAAAAGAGCACTGACGAGAAGATGATTGATTTAAAGCAGAAAATCGATCTTGAGTTGAGCAAGAGTGTTACAATTGCAAGGAATTTGCGAAGTCTTGGAGGCACAGTTTTTGAACAAGAGTCGACGATAACGAGAAGCACTGTGGAACACTTTCAGAAAGCTGAAGAACAAATTCTTGCAAAGAATCGAGTGAAGAACATGTTCTTGAAGATGAAGAAAGTTGGATGGTTTCCACTTCACTGGTTTTCTCTACGCGCCCAGTGCGAAATCTATATCGCTCCACCGATTGGCACTGTTGTAAAAGATCGGCGATTGGTTTTGAAATTGTTTTGATGACTTTGTAAAATTCTTTTGAGTTGGTCCGTTTTCGTCCTTTTTCGTCCTTTTTCGTCAATCTATTTCCGTCAATCTTTTGTTTTCTTTTGTACCTAAGCACAGCCAAAGATACAAATATTCAGTTACAGTAAGTTTCTCGGTCTAGACACTTTTTACCGTACTTAAAACAGCCAATCAGCTCAGCCAACCAGCCAGTCAGATCCTAGAGCTTAAAACAGCCAGATCCTAGAGCTTAACAGCCAAATCCTAAAGCTTAAAACAGCCAGATCCTAGAGCTTAAAACAGCCAGATCCTAGAGCTTAAAACAACCAGAAAGTCTTTTCGTTTCTTTTTGTACTTCCGTTTTAAAACCAACAAATGTACCAATTGAACTACGGTTTGTTTCATTAGAAAGGCAATGTTTCATTGTTTCATTTGTTCATTTTTTGTTTCATTAGAAATTCCAATCATTTTTCTACAAAATAACATTAAAATGGGTTTAAAATGTCTTATGTCTGGATTTTTTTGGCAGTGTGAAGTCGAGTAGTCAAAAAGGGTAGCTCGATGATGCGGTTTAGACACTTTAGCTAATGGAAACCTATCTTGGTGTCTATAGATAAAAGATAGAGCACAAAAAGTTACATGTATAGCCAAATTTTCAGAGAAATTCATTCAGCCAATTTCTTCGTAGAGATTTATGGAACATTTGATATTGGCAATTGCCGCCTTTTGCCATTGGTAATCTAACTTTGAACTCAAATATCTTGGTGTTGGGCTGTTTAATTGAAATAGTTTTTGTACCAATCGACAGAGAAAGACTTGGCGCATCTAATGATATCAAGAATATATAAATTGGACAGCACAGCACCAAGATATTCGAGCTTAAAGTTAGATTGCCAATGGCAAAAGCGGCGGGTGTATCAAATGTATATAAGCCGCATATCAAATATTTATCAAAAGGGACGTAGCCTAATATAAGCTAGGTCAGGCCAGAAGACAGATCCAGTGACTTTATAGGCTTTTGCAGGCAAAACTAGGCAGTCATGCCATACAAAGAATTTGGTTTGCCTCTTCGTTAGCCGGTTTTGGCTGATCTCGTTTCCTAATTGAAATCTAGCATCTTGGGCAACAGAAATGTTGAATTTAGCTGAATTTAGCTCTCGATTTCTGTCACTATGGCACCCGATTGACTTACAATTTTGCATTTTTCCACCTGTCGATTCCCTTCAAAGCTGAAAATTGAAAACTTCTTGAAAATTCCAGCTTACCCAAATTGTTAGCGCTTTATTTTCTTTTGAAATTTGGAAATTGGAAATTTGGAACTATTTCCTCTCAATCTATTAATTCTACGATTTCTGGATGTTTTTTAAAAACTCGAACAAGATTCTTGTCAAAGAAAAAGCCAATTTCTGATTGTTGATTGATTGTTGATCGCTTATTCGTGAGATTTTCAAATGTTCTCGCAATATTTGGACGAAGAGCACAATCATCGAATAAATCTCGCATCGATTCAGCGAACTCGAGATCGAGAACAAGGAAAATGCGTAAAAGAAGCGTATCTTGAACAGAAATTGATCCACAAGAGCTATCCAAACATTTTTCTATCAGAAAATGGTCAACTTTTAAGTAGAAAAGTTCGAATGGCTTTGTTTTTCAAGAAAATATTTAGCGAGACGACAAGAACGACAAGAAAATCCTTTAAGAAAAACCCTTCTAAACAGCAAGAAATTTATCGATGTCCGTCTACGATTTCATTGGATTTGGAAAGGACAAAGAGAAATTGGAAAAGTGAAGCCATTGAGGAAATTGAGGTGTTTAAGAAGAAGTTGGATCGAGGCTTCGATAAAGAGATTATCATCGCTGATGGAAAGCAATTTATCAGCTCTAGAGGAAATGATATTTACAAGAACCAGGATAAAATTATCAAGAGTTTACTTAGGAAAGTCTGTAAAACGGCTGAAGAGGAAAAGTTTGCGAAAAGTTTGGTGGAAAAGAGATACGCTTATATGAAGGAGGAGGGATGGGTGGCGCTGGCCACTTGGAGACCGAGATGAGCTTGAAAAAAGCTTCTGTTTCTATAAAGCTTCTGGTTCTTTTAAGCTTCTGGTTCTTTTAAGCTTCTGTTTCTTTTAAACACTGGTTTTCTAAATTAGCTCGTGAATCTTTATTTTATCTTTATTTAATATATTAGAAATAGCTAGTATACTAAAAGATTTATCAATATTTTATCAGCTGTATGATTCTCTCAGGTGTTTCCTCGAAATCCGCTTTTTAGGTCAATTTTAACTCACTAACCTATCAAGATTTGTATCCCAGGGTTTTCAGAGTCGCAGAATCTATTAGCGGAGTTTATTTTAACCCTTTGTTTGTTAAGGATGTCGAGTTTGCTGGAAAAATACACCCAGATTTGGGGCAAGAATGATTGCAAGAATTTGAGCATAATAAGGCTGAAATTTGGTCGCTCCTACCATTTACGGACTCCAAAACGGAAGCACTTTATACCCAATGGATTTGCCAGACGACGAGCGATCACGTGCAGACTTGGCTGGAATTTGAAGCAAAAATGGACCCAGATCTAAGAGAAAAACTGATCTAGACTCGATGCAATATATTGCCGACAAGGGGAGGAAAGGGGTTTGCCTGGCGCAGGGCTTTATGTAAAAGCCCTGCGCCAGATTCCGCCGCCGCACAACGAACGTCTCGCCAGTCATTTACAAAGGATTAGTTCTTGCTTTGTAGATGGTACAAAAAAAGATAGTTGGCTGGAAATTTGTACCGGGGGTTTTCGGGTTCGGGGAATCGATTGGAGCATTTTATTGGGTCTCGCAATTAGAACTTGTCAATTGGAGCTTGACCATTGGAACTTAAATCGTTGAATCTTGAAGCTAGTTTGGGGCTTTTCTTTAAATCTTTGAAACCAGTACAAAGAATTCAATGTTTTCAAAGTTATTCTATCGTTTTTTGAAATCATTTGTAACTTTAAATGTTAAATGTTAAATCTTATTAGCTTCAAATGTTATTAGCTTATTCCCAGAGTCACAAAATAGTTCAGAATTTGGTTTTTGATCGCTTCCGTAAAACAAAAAGTTTAATCACATCTTCGACTAAAACACTAAACGTACTTGAGACAGCAATACAGCTGGAAAATTGAAAAAAATCTTTGCTTAATAATTGGGGAGTATTTTGCATTGCTTTAAAGATCAAAACCCAATAAAATTCAACTTAAAGTCGATCGAAAGTCAGCCAAATAAGCTTGAACTAACAAAATCCTGAATTGTTAACGTTTTACACAAATAGTTTTACACGTTTTACACGAGCCTGAGCCTGAGCCTGAGCCTGAGCCTGAGCCTGAGCCTGAGCCTGAGCCTGAGCCTAAGCCTAAGCCTAAGCCTGAGCCTAAGCCTAAGCCTAAGGCTAAGCCTAAGGCTAAGCCTAAGCCTAAGCCTGAGCCTAAGCCTGAGCCTGAGCCTGAGCCTGAGCCTAAGCCTAAGCCTAAGCCTAAGCCTAAGCCTAAGCCTAAGCCTAAGCCTAAGCCTGATCCTGAGCCTGAGCCTGGCCACAAACTTGCCACAAAATTTCCATTTCATTGTTCCCATTTGTTAACCCACCCCGTTCACCATTCTCTTCTTGATCTCACTCTAAATTTCTATGCTAATGATCTCATAGTAATTAAAGAGCCAGAAAAGGGGGGGGGGTTGCTGGTTGCTTTTGACCTCAAAGGGGTGAATGGGTGCAATGAGCGCACACCCAGTCAGCCCAGCCGGTAAACATTGACTGAAAATTGGTGTCTAGATGAGCAAAAGGGGCTTCTGCACAGGTGCACTCACTCTATAAAGGGTAGCAAAAAGGGGAAAGGGTGAAGGGAAGAGAAGAGTTTATGGGTAAGTGGTGCATGTGTTCGATGTGTCGCGTGCTGGCTCCCCGTCAGCCTCTACCCCTTTTTCATCCCACCACCCAGTCACATAATAGACACACGCACCCTAGATCTATTCCATCTATTCCTCCTCTTTTTCCTACCACCCTATTTTCCATTGTACTACCAAAGCTAGCCACTTTCGATCCACTTATCGTTCTGAACCAGTTCTCAATTTGATTTGAGAATTTGGTTTGAAATGCTTTAGATTAAAGTTTATTTCTCTAACTAGAGAAAGGCGCTAAGGCAAGATGCTATTTCAAAATCTAACCTAATGTACTTAATAGAACTTTTTGCGCTGATTCTAAATCTGGTTCTAGTTTTCTGGCTCTGTAAAGTAAGAGATTTAGCATAGAAAAATTGACTCCGATTTGCCTAGAAAGCTTTCTTGATCGTTCTTTCTTTCTTTCTTTCTTTCTTCTTTCTCCTCTTTCTTTCTTTTCTTGCTTTACTTTCTTTTTTCTCTCTTTCTTCGTTTAAATGTGAGCTCATAGCGCAGTGGATAGTGTGCTAGCCTACGCAGTCATTTAGATAGGATTATTTCTTGCTTTGTAGATGGCACAAAAAAGATATTCGGCTGGAAATTTGTACCCGGGAGTTTTCGGGGTCGTGGAATCGATTGTAGCTATGCATTTTATTGGGTCTCACAATTGGAACTTGTCAATTGGAACTTGTCAATTGGAGTCTCTCTTTCTTCGTTTAAATATGAGCTCATGGCGCAGTGAATAGTGTGCTAGCCTACGCTTTTTTTTCAACCTCGAGGCTTCGGGTTCAAGCTGACAGTTCAAGCTGGCAGTTCAAGCTGACAGTTCAAGCTGACAGTTCAAGCTGACAGTTCAAGCTTAAAGCTTCTTTAGTTTTTCTGAAAGAAGAGATTATTAAGATTTTGAAGAATTTTAAACAAATTTATCTTCTATTTATCTTCTATTTATCTTCTAATTTGAGCTAAATATTCTAATCTATCTTCTAATTCTAATGTGAATCCACGAGCACACATTTGGAATATTTAAAGCATAAAGAAAGCTTTTAAAAATAAACGATCTTTGTTTTAAAAGCTTTTAAACCTTTTAGATCATTTGAAAGCTTTTAAACCTAGGCGAATCGAGCTCAAGTTTTCCATTCCAAATTCCTCACGTTACAGAGCCCCGCTGAAAAAACTAAAACCGGATTCAGAATCAGCTTAAAAAGTTCTATTAGGACACTGGGTTTCATTTTGAAAGGATACATTGATCTAGTGCCTTTCCTTTGTAAGATTCTTGTCTAAATCTTGCTTAGAAACAACATTCGCTTTCATTTTAAAACTTTCCAAGGGGTAAAAGTCTAATCGAATAACATTGGCTGAGTCAAGTTTGGTTCAAAGACTAGTAGAGATCCGCTCTAGTGTAAGTTTCATAAATTCGAGAACTAATCTGCCAAATGATCTGACAACATTGAAAACAGTTAGCCTTTTGAACAAGTTTTAGACTTTAAATCGCTTGGTATGTAAAATTGTTTCTAAACCTGAACTCGTGTGAACACGTAGAGCTTTTACATAGAGCTTTTACATAGAACACTGAAGCTTGAAAGTACCACTATGACCCAAAATAGCTAGAGAATTGCGGTTAAATGATCGAAATTGTATTCTAAATTGAAAATATTCTTTAGATTTGGTTTTGGTTATCATTCTAAGATGCTATGCTTGATTTTAAAGCTAAAGCTATCGTTTTTAGATCAACAATAGCTTTAGTTTGCTTGAAAGTACCATTATGACCCAAAATAGCTAGAGAATTGCTGTTAAATGATCGAAATTGTATTCTAACTTGAAAATATGCTTTAGATTTTGCTTTGGTTATCATTCTAAGAGGCTATGCTTGATTTTAAAGCTAAAGCTATCGCTAAAGCTTTTAGATCAACAATAGCTTTAGTTTTCTTATAATCTTTAATTTTTGTGGTTCTAGTTGTTTCTTAGTTTCCATTTTTGTCAAATACATATTCATAATTGTGAATTGTGATCCATATTTGTGATCTCATCTTGTTTTTGGTCAACATTTAGATCCATAATTGTGATTTCATCTTTCTTTTTGGTCAACATTTAGTACTTGTCAAAGGTTTGTGATAATTAGTTTTGTTATTTTTTTGTGGTCGTGTTTTCAATTCGTTTTTTTTCGAAAAGTGTAAAAAGTTGTGGAGAAAAAAGAATAAATTTTAGCTAAACAAGCTAAACAAGCTCAAATGAGTGCCCCACGCTCGGCCACCGATCGAACATGGCTGGACACGGTGAGTTGAAAGTTGAGTTGACAAGTTGAGTTGACAAATGACAAGTGACAAGACAAATCCTTCAGAAGATCCTCTTCTCATTTTCTTTCTTTTCTCTTCTGATTCTCTACCAGTCAATCAGCAGATAATCCCTATTCTTGCCTTTTTTCAACGTTTACCAATTTTTGTTCAATCCTTGAACAGTCTCACTTGATGGTAATGTCTGATTTGAAAGCCACACAAATTTTTGGTGAAAGGTGTTGAAGTAGGGATTGTTAAGGGATTGCTAAGGGATTGTTAAGGGATTGCTAAGGGATTGTTAAGGGATTGTTAAGGGATTGCTAAGGATTGTTAAGGGATTGTTAAGGGATTGTTAAGGGATTGTTAAGGGATTGTTAAGGGATTGTTAAGGGATTGTTACGGGATTGCTTTTAATGCAAAAAATTCATCTAAAGATCAAGTTTAAAGTTTAAAGACCAATCATCAGATAAACTAACCGATAATGATCTAATCTTTATTGTTCACTAAATCCTAGAATCAATTTTTCAAGCCAAACTAAACCAATGTAAATTGTTCAAAAGTGTTCAAAAAGAATTTGACAACAAAGGTTGACAGTTCCAAAGAAAAATTCGAACCTTAAAAGAAGCTGTAAGCTTGTAGTTGTAAACTGTAAACAGTTGTAAACTTTTGAACTTTTGGGACACTCTGTAGTGGAAATTCTTTTTAACTACATTAGTTATAAAAGTTGTACATTGACTGCACAAAGGGAGAGGTCGTTTTCGAAAAAAACCATTCCAACCCATAGTTATACATTAGCCAATCTACTAACACATCGTATTTTACAGTCGACAAGTTTTACCTCCAGGATTGAACCCTCGATTTTCGGAACGCTAACCAAGCAGCCATTCAACTAATCATTCAACTGGCATGCTAGAAATGCCTTTAACTTTAATAAATTACTAAATACCGTGAATCAAGAAGTTCTAGAATAGATTTTACGATATCTTTCAAGTGACAGAACTGCTGTGAGGCAATTTGTTCAAGATTGTTCAATGTATCAACAATTTATCAGACAAATGTTGAATTAAACAAGTTAAACTTCCAAAAATTACTGGCTTTTGTTCTAGTAGACATCATTATGATAGACTTTTTCATCTGTCTCAATATCTATCTTTGTGAAAAGATCTATTTTTTTGCATTTTTCAGCACGAATGCTTTGTGAGCGAGGTTCGCGGAAAAGAGGCTGACGTGATTTTCGTCGGCGATGATCACATTGCACTCTTGGGGCAGAGTACGGTGAGATTTTGCCGAAAAAAAACCTGAATTCTTGTCTTATCCAGGATAATCAGATTTTAGTTCTATCGCGAGAAGATTTCCCCACTCCATTGCCTGACATTCGGGATTATTGGGGATACAATCGAGAACGTGAGATGGAGGGTGGAGAACGGAGAGCTTGACGAGGCGTCGGCTAAGGTGGAAATGAATTTTCGAATGAATTCATCAATGATTTATCTTTTAGAAAAGATAAATCATTGATTAGATATAAGATATATGAGATATTAGATATAAAATCTAATATTTTGGCTTCCAAAAGCATCAATGATCCTTTAGTACGAGTCGGGTTTGGGATTGGACCGGGATCGGGTTTATGGATGGATTTAATGGTTAATATAATTAATTTAATGGTTCCAATCCCTCAACTTGACTGCTTTCCATTTACGCAAAGATAAAAAAGCTTTAAAAACATCAAACACAGTTCGTTGAGTTCTTCGACTTCTCTAAATAGCTTTGTATGCTTACAGTGCTTACAGTGCTCACAGTGCTCAAGAAAATGCTCATAATGAGATTCTATAATCACTCGTTTGAATGTTCTGGACTTCGTACTAGACTCGCAATCGAAATTCTGTCGGATCGGATTGGATCGGATCGATTTCAATCCGATGATTCAATCCGATCTAATCATCGGATTGGATCTGATTTGATCAATGGATTGGATCCGATCTAATCATCGGATTGAATCCGATCTAATCATCGGATTGGATCCGATTTGATCAACGGATTCGATCCATCTGATCACAAGTCTAACGCGTAGTAAGAACTGATTTTAACTAAACCTTCACTGAATTGACTGATTCAATATTTCGCATTTTGATCGGACAATTTGCATTTAAAATAAAAAATGCAAGAAGTATGGTCTTGAGCTAATCCGATACTTTCTGTATCGGATATCAATGAATGTTATAAACCATTTGAAAGTTGTAAATCTCCTCTACAAAAGAGGCCAAAACGTGTTTCAATTGATCGAACCATTGAAAAAATTTCGAGGCCGAAATGCGAGTGACCAAAAAAGGAATCGAGTCACTTTAGGGACAAGTTTAGTGTGGTCAAAATAGAGGTAGCTTCCCAAAATTGAAGATTTAAATAGAAAAAGGATAACTATATATCAATTATCAAATTAAACTTGTTCTTAAAGTGACCCGATTCCTATTTTTGGTCCCTCGCATTTCGCCCTCGAAATTTCTTCAATGGTTCGATCAATTGAAACACGCTTTAGCCTATTTTGTAGAGGAGATTTACAACTTTCAAATAGTTTATAACATTCGTCGATATCAGGTTTCTATCGTTGGAAATTTATGAAAATGCTGAATGTTGTTGAAAATGTTGAATCTTATGCATGTACCTAACAGGAAACGAGTTCATTTAAAATTCAACTGAATATCTTACAAATTTGAGAAGATATTTAAGATATATTTAAGATATTCAGTTGATTTCGACCTAACTCGTTTCCTCTTTTACACTATTTCTTGAGGGGAACACACTCGAATTATGACTCACTCTGTATTCTAATCGATCAGCTGAGGCTCGAAATCGATCAGATGAGGCTGTTAGCTAGGCTGTTAGCTAGGCTGTTAGCTAGGCTGTTAGCTAGACTGTTAGCTAGGCTGTTAGCTAGGCTGTTAGCTAGGCTGTTAGCTAGGCTGTTAGCTAGGCTGTTAGCTAGGCTGTTAGCTAGGCTGTTAGCTATGCTAGCTAGCGATTGTTCTTTCATTTAGATTTCAAATGCAAATTCAAAACTTTACAGTTATTTTTTTGGGTTTAATTTATTCAATGTGTCTATTTGCGCAAAAATTTCTAGATTTCTGGGAAAAATTTAAGCAGAAAATCTTTCCTGTTAGTTAGTTTCTTGTTAGTCACCCCAGCTTACCTCAAAGAGATTCCGTTTTTAAATTCTCCATAAAATTCTCGATAATAACACGATAACGCTAATAATCGTCGATAATAATTCAGATAATCGTCCTGTCGATCGGCTGCAATGTAGATGAGCAATCGGAGTCTGTGGACGGCTTTTCCACCAAACTCGTCACTCTATCCGAGCTCATCCGCCAAAAACAGCCGCAAGCGCAACTTTTTGTTCTGGTGAGGCGCAAATCTTCTGAGATTTAGGGGATTTTCTTTAAAGTTTTTCAAGTTTTTTCCATAATCTAAAAAATCGAAAATAGATTCGATACAACGACGCGATAATCCCCATTCCACTTTGGGAAATTATTTTTATTGAGCAGGAAATTGCGATTAGGAAAGATATGCAAATTTTGGAGAAAACAGGGTTTAGTTTTTAGACTTAAAAGTTTTAAGGAAACATTATTAGTTTTAAGGAAGAATATGAAAGCGAATTGGAACAAAATGAATAGCGCTAATCGATTCGTCGACCCCGAAAACCCTCGGGTACAAATTTACAGCTCAAATCAAAATAATTATCAAAATTTATTATGCTCAAATTTCTGGTAGCAATTTTTACCCCTAATTTAGCTGTATTTCTGCTACGAATTGTCCTTTAAATGTCCCGTAATTGTCCCGTTTCTACTACGAAATGTCCCGCCAAAACCATTGTGTTACTATTGGGTTGTCCAGTTATGAAGTCGCGTTTTTTACTATTTTGTAAATTTCTCAAGATACCGAAATCAAGAAAAAGATATATATGAGTATTATTCGAAAGCTGAAGATCTCCTCTACATTTTGATATAAAAAGTTTTTGAATTTGTTCAGCTTTTGGGCAAACTGACTGCACAGAAGAAGAGGTGGCCAAAAAATGGAAGGATGCCTTTGGATCAAGTTTTGGCTCCGCTCAAATTGAGTTAACCGTTTGATGTTTGGCCAATAGATATATCAATACAACTTTTTTTAAATATAACAATTTCAGAGCATCTTTACTTTACTTTACTTTTCTGGGCGGTTATTTTTTACCATAAAACTTGAGGAGTAGCTAAGCTGGAATGGGTTTTTTCGAAAACGACCTCTCCCTTTGTGCAGTCAATTTCTCAAAAAGTTGAATGAATTCAAAAACTTCTTTTTTACCAAAATGTAGAGGAGATCTTCAGCTTTCGAATGATATATAACACTCATCTACATCTGTTCGATATCTTCAGAAATTTACAAAATAGTAAAAACGCGCATTCATAACTGGACAACCCAATAGCTAATCAAGTTGGTTTTTTACGGTTTAATGTTAGTTGATTCTACTTTAGCCATGATCTTGAAAAGCTTTTCAATAATTCAAAGCTTAACAACTTAATTTGAAAAATCTAGGTTTCTTTTCCTAATAGTAAGACAATAGTAAGGCAATATGGCTAGTTAATCAATTCTGGTTGGCTTATTGGGTTGTTGAATAAGTCTTGACACCTTTTTTCATTCTTTCGTTTAGAAATGACTATTTCACCAATGACCTATAGTTCTAGTTAAACAGAAAATGTTTATTGTTTGATTTTCTTTCTTTTTAAACCAATCTGCGCCCATTTCCAAGCAAATTTGAGCATAAAAACGCGTTTTTGGGTGAAATCCGATTTAAAAGTTCTACAAAGAAGTTGGCTGAATCAATTTCTTTGAAAATTTGACTGTACACCTAACTTTTTGTGCTCTATCTTTTATCTATTGATATCAGAATAGGTTTCTGTGAAGAAAAGTGCCTAAATCCGGTCATTATCGGTCATTTGGACTACCCAAAAATGCGCGCCCCGGAAAAATCCCGAAATTGAGACCTTTTCTGAAGATTTTAACGCTCTTTTGCAGAAAAATAGTTATTCAAGTAGTAAAGTTAAAGCTCTTAAAGCCTTTTTAATTTACAAAATAGTAAAAACGCGCATTCATAACCGGACAACCCAATAGTAAACAAGTGAAGAGTGAACAAGTAAACAGTAAACGAACAAACAAGTAAGTAAATAAACAACCAAGTAAGTAAAAAAACAAGTAAGTAAACAAACAAGTAATCAGTAGTAAAGCAGCAGTTGAATGCTCTGAGAAATTTGCATCTGTTAATTTTGTTGGCTCTAGAACACTTTTACTTTTATTTTTCTAGAGCTTGATTCAGGAAAAGTTACAAAACTATGGCAACTCTCAAATTTCAACTAGATTTCAAAAGAATCAACTTAAATTGTTTCCATTGTTTAGAAAATGCTTCCATCCGGACGCAACGATAACCCAGGACGAAAATTTGCGAGCGCAGTGAATGAGGGTCTTGACGCAAAACTGAAAGGAATCGCTACGGTGCTCGATGTAGAGCCGACTATTTTGAGTAAGTAGCTGACAAGAAAGCTTACAAGTAGAAAAACCAATTATTGACAAGAAAGCTTACAAGTAGTCGTAAACAATTGCACAAGTTTGGTAGTTTACCGGTTAGCCACAAGTACCGATTACGAACTGTTTTACAAAGTTGCTAGCTGTTGTTACTGTTTCGTACTGTAACTAATCCAAATTTGTAGGCGCCGTCTATAAAATTCTATTTGTATACAATTGTATTTGTATTTTTGTAGGAGTAAAAAAGGATTTGTGAATGTGATCAACCAAAAAAAGTCATACCGTAAATACTGTAATAGTACCTCACCCCCATAATGACAGTGCAGAGCGTTGCGTAGTCTAGCTTTGAACGAGTTTTTCTCGACACTGGTTTAAGCTACAATGCGCGCTTAGGTATCAAGAATAGCTGAAATTCAGGGCTATTTTTTTGATACCAAAGACGTATTTCTTGAAAGTACGGGCGTTTTGAAAAAAAAGAATACTAAAAAACTTTTGCGACTACGCGACTGTACGAGGGGGTGGGGTACTATTACAGTATTTACGGTAATTACTCAGAAATATGTTGACTTCATTGAAACGGCAAGGTTTTTAACTTGTTTGAAACATCTATTTTAGGTTGTTCGGATATAAACAAGCGTTACTAAACTTATTGTTGTGAGAGCAGCTTTTAAAACATGTCTTTCTGTATTTAAAAGTACGTTATCTTGTGCATATTTGGAATCTTTTTAAACGGATATTTTCTTATTTTTAAGATCTTTTTTCTTGCTTTAGATGACCGACTTCAAATATAAACAAAGTTCGCGTTTGCCTACTTTACGACTTCAAACTGGGCAAAACAGTAGCGGAATCCCATTGAGATTTGGTCAAAGCATTTGGGAATGATGTATTGTTTGAAAGCCGATGCAGAGCCTGGCTCCAACGCTTTCGGAATGGTGATGAAAATCTCGAGGATGATGAACACTCTCGTCAAGAATATCGTTGTCTACCTCAAGCGGTAGACAACGATATTTTGAGGGCTGCAATCGAATCGGATCCATGTCAAACAACACGTGAACTTGCTCAATAGTTGCTATGTTCAAATTCTACTATTCCATGTCCACGTCATTGGAAAAACGATCTGATGCGGGAAATGGCTTCCTCACGAGTTAAGCAGTGCAAACGCTCGTTTATATCCGAACAACCTAATTATATATTTATATCCGAAAACTATCGTAATCCAATTGTCATTTTGCATTTAATCAGCCCAATTTTGATCTAATTCGATACTGTAAATACTCTAATAGAATCAAAATTAAGAACAGATGAAAGATGGAAAAGTTACGGTTACAGGAAAAGATATTAGTTATAGAAAACTCTCTGTTCTTAAATCACAAATTTTCAGACAGCGAAGGTCGAATGGATAGCCATCTGATGTTCGACTTCCGCCACTTGACTCAAGAAGGGTATTCCAAAATTTTCGACTCCGTTTTAGTTGCTATTTCCTCAGCTTTAGGCACTGTCTAGGCTCTGTCACTGGTTCTAGATTTCGAGTTTCTTTTCATTTTGATTTCATTCAAAAAGTCATAATATTTTTCACTTTTCGGCTAGTCTAGTCGCTGATTCATTGCACTGTGATTTCTTTCAATTTCGCTTATTGCTTTTTACGCTTCAGTTATCCTTGAGATTCCGCTATTTCGGTTGTTGTAATTGATCTCGATCACACATATTCAGAGTATTTTTTTCGTTTTCAAGAGCTTTGCTTTATTGAGTAAACTATTCTTGATTGGTGTAAAGATAAACAGAATACAGTTAGACGTGTTTTAGCCAAATCCAGTTCTGGGCCTTATTTTAGTAAGAACAACAAGAACAAGAACAAGAACAAGAACAAGAACAAGAACAAGAACAAGAACAAGAACAAGAACAAGAACAAGAACAAGAACAAGAACAAGAACAAGAACAAGAACAAGAACAAGAACAAGAACAAGAACAAGAACAAGAACAAGAACAAGAACAAGAACAAGAACAAGAACAAGAACAAGAACAAGAACAAGAACAAGAACAAGAACAAGAACAAGAACAAGAACAAGAACAAGAACAAGAACAAGAACAAGAACAAGAACAAGAACAAGAACAAGAACAAGAACAAGAACAAGAACAAGAACAAGAACAAGAACAAGAACAAGAACAAGAACAAGAACAAGAACAAGAACAAGAACAAGAACAAGAACAAGAACAGGAACAAGAACAAGAACAAGAACAAGAACAAGAACAAGAACAAGAACAAGAACAAGAACAAGAACAAGAACAAGAACAAGAACAAGAACAAGAACCACAAAATTATAAATTTCCGTGAGACTTCAACCCTCAGCTGTTCTCAGCTGTGTTAGCAGCGGAAAACTGCTGGTAAGGGGAATAAGTAACTGCTGGTAAGGAGAATTACCCGAGCTAAGTGTAATCTTTGCCCCGTTTCTGCAACATCTGTCATGCTTTACCACTTACGGGTAGTTTAGATTCAGTTAAGCTCTTTAAATTTCAATATATTTATTAGAAAAAGCGTCCGAAAAAGTTTTAAACACTTTTAAATACTCTAGACTAAATGAAATTAAAGAATGAAAAAAAAAGTGCGTAGTGGCGCTTATGTACTGGTTTGCCCGAGATAGGTGCACTTTATTGGGTTGGTGAATTGAAAACTGCAGGCTATTTCGCGGCCCTTGCAGATAAAGAAAACAACAGCATAGAACCAGCTGAAAGCGGGGTTTGTTTACTTCAACATTTCCACTAATTATTGCGAAAAAATTATGCGTCCAGCTTTTTATTTTTTGGTACTTTTCTTCACTTCTTCTATTGCACTCGACAATCTGCCACCGGGACATATTCGTCATGTCATGCTTCATGAGTTCCTACAAGAGCACAGTGCAGGCTTGGCAGCTGCTAATATTAAAAAGATATATGGGGAGGACTCACCTTTCAAAAGAACGTGTCGAGTATGGTTTGCCAAGTTTCGATCTGGGGACAAATCTTTGAAAGATGCAGAGCGGCACCCCAACTGGATGATTCCAAATTACTCGAACTCATTAACAACGACTATCGGGTATCATCGCGTGAATTGGGAAAAGAGTTAGGGGTTAATCATGTTACAGTGCTAAGGCACCTTCATACACTTGGATTTAAATCGAAACTTGGGACTTGGGTGCCCCGTGACCTCACTGACCCCCAGAAGTGGCAGCGCGCCTCGATCAGTGCCGTCAATCTCTCACAATACAAAAGGAAATCTTTTCTTGCTCGAATTGTGATAGGAGATGAGAAATGGGTTTTATTTGTGAACTTTCAGAGGAAGTGGCACTGGGTGTGGTCAGGCGAGAAACCCGAAAGTGACGCCAAGCCCGATTTGCACCAGAAGAAGTTTATGCTCTGCGCTTTCTGGGATATGAAGGGAGTGGTGTACTGGGAGTTGCTGGATAGCAAGACGACCGTTAATGCAATCAAATACAGTGAACCATTGGGAAAGGTTAATGAATCCCTGAAGAAGAATAGGCCCTCTGAATCCCTGAAGAAGAATAGGCACGAAAGTTTTGCGGTATCAGTCTTGCGGTAACAACCATGCTACGTTGAGTAAAGAAAGCTATTAGGCAACAAGTAGAATATGATAAGCATGTTCGTACTATTTGTAAATAGGGCAAATAAGTGAAGAAATGATGACGAATAGGAAAGTACCCGTTTCTCAATTCAACTCTGCTCAGTAGGATTTATTTGCGTGAATTGCACTAAAGGTCCAAGAGTAGATGAAAGTTTTTTATATTACAAAAGTATGTTGAAAGTCTTTCACCAAAAGTTTCCACAAATCTCCGACTATTGCAGATCTTTTGTGACGTCTTTTGACTCATTTTTGCCTCATTCCCGGGTTGATCTTATATTTTTTCACAAAAAAACAAACGAAGAATCGGGTTGCAATTAGGTTTTTCAAGTCTACAGCAAAATAACGTAATAGTCAGGGCTGAGATGTTGGGGAAAGAGGCCATAAAAAGAGCGATTAAAAAAAGGGCTCATCAGGAATGACGAGGGGAAATGAGGCTGAGATGGGGCAGCTCATCCCTTTCCTAATCCTCCCGGCCACCTCAAGATTATCGCCGACAATCTTTAGACATCCTTCTTCCTTTCTTTTTGAGCAGTTTCGATCACTCACCTATTTATACTTGTGTTCTGCCATCATTTTGATGAAATGGTGAACTTTTTGCAATGCTTGCAATGATTTTCCTCCTTTTTCTTTAACTCTTTATTACTTTACAAGAGTTTTTTTTGGATAATTTTGCTAAAGTTTGCTATTAGCTTTCATTAGCTTTATTAGCTTTTATTAGCTTTCATTAACTTTCAATTTTTATTAGTTATTAGCATTCAACTTTGATAAAAGATCGGGGGGTAGTCAAAACAGCCCCATAATAGAAAACGTTCAAAACAGCGCCGTCAAATTTCTCACACTCCAAAAAACCAAGCCGGTTCAAGTTTTATATCAAAAAATTCCTTGCGTTCTTGGCTACATGATGGGTGAAACAGTTTTTAAAAAAAGTTAATATTTCATAGATAAAAAGAGCACTTAAAATGTGCGTCGAGTGAGACTCAGTTGGTTAACTGAATATCTTTAGCGACCCATTTTGAGTGCTCCTTTTATCTATGAAGTATTAACTTTTTTTAAAAACTGTTTCACCCATCATGTAGCCAAGAACGCAAGGAATTTTTTGATATAAAACTTGAACCGGCTTGGTTTTTTGGAGTGTGAGAAATTTGACGGCGCTGTTTTGAACGTTTTCTATTATGGCGCTGTTTTGACTACCCCCAAAAGATCGCTTTCATTCGCTCATTCTGATCGCTTTCATTTTGTTTTGATTTTAAAGTCATGGACCAAAGTCTGCCGCTTGATCTGGTTCATAAATTTCATTTGAATATTCATGGCAGTAAGCTAATGGAAACAATATTTGGTTCTTCGTGGAAATCCGGGTCTTTTATCATCTGCAAGATAGTAAAAGTTCTCATCTGCAAAACCCAAAACCAATACGATTCTCTTGAGACTTTTCTTGAGACAAAGGATTAAAATAAACTCTGCTAATAGGTTCTACGATGTTGAAAATCCTGAGGCACAAATTTTTGACATTAAATAACTTTTTGCCATTGACAATGTTATTCCAACCGTGGAATGGCTAATTTGGGAATCAGAAATTTTACAGAAAAAAAGAAATCACTATGTAAAGTGACAGTGAAGGAGGCAAAGCCTTGCCCAATTTAGGGCCAGGCTTTACTCAAATTTGTTCGTAACTTTGTCCGTAACTTTGTCCGTAACTTTGTTCGTAACTTTGTTCGTAACTTTGTCCGTAACTAACTGTCATTGACAAAGTTATTCCAACCGTGGAATGGCTAATATCTTGAGCATTTTGATAGAAAATTCAATGATACTTGAAACACCACCCAAAAAAAAAACAAAAAAGAAAAAAAAAAAAAAAAAAAAGAAAAAAAAAAGATAACCAAAGATGAACAAAATAAGACCTGTTAGAGTATTTTCGGCATCTTGCCAAGCCAAAACTAATCGAGATCTCTAAGGTTTAAGATCTTTAAGGTTTAAGATCGCTAAGGTCCAAGATCTTTAAGGTTTAAGATCGCTAAGGTCCAAGATCTCTAAGGTCCAAGATCTCTAAGGTTTGAGATCTCTAAGGTTGCTTACGGGACATTTGCCTTAAATTAGCTGTATTTCCGTCATTCCACATCCTTTATTCAGCCAAATTTTGATTCATCGAATCGTCCAATAGCCAGTGAAACCCAACTCAAAACTGGAACGGTTCTTTAAGATTCTTTAGGCTCATAAAAATCTTTTACTTACATCTTTTAACTGTTTGATTGACTTTAAACAAACACTTTTCAAGTTTACAAACAAATGTTTTTAAACAAGTATGATTAGATTTTGTTCTGAGAATTGGGTACCCCACAAAAAGAATTGAAATTAACTGCCCTATCAACTTTTGATGGTAGTTTAGTTGACTACCATGGTCGTAACGAGTAACGGAGTATCAGGGTTTGACTCCGGTGAGGAGTTTGACTTTTATATCTCTACAAAATTTGCCTGCATCATTTGCGTCTCACAAGGTCTTTAGAATTAAATTAAAAGAATTAGAATTAAAATCTTTAGTTCTAAGCTAAACTGGAAAGTGCTACGTAAAAAATGGTAAGTGCTAAGCTCTTGTAAACTTTCAAAGCTTTCAAAGCCCCAAAATCTCCAAGAAAAGTTCCTGGTACTCCGAATTTGTCAAGCTTTGATTTAAAAGCTCTCAAAATCTCCATGAAGATTTTGATTTAAGAACTTCTTCTAAAGATTTTATCTAATTCTCAAGCTGCCAAAGCTGCCAGGATTTTCCCGTCACCTCATCCCTTTCTATCTCCCCAGATTACCAAATCTCTTAATCTTTCTCTAGCTTTCTCTCATCTTTCTCAATATTTTCAAGTGATGATTGAATTCTCCATCTCTGTATCTCTTCTTTCTGAATTGATTCCTTTGAGATTTGAAGATTTGTGTATGAAATTCATTATTGCTTGTCTTCATCGCCTCTTTCTTCTTCACTTCTTCACTTCTCCCTTTTCCCCGTTTTCCTCCCGTCTTCGTCAACTCGAGACTAAACTTTTCGACACATTTGCTTCTCAATTATCACTTCCCTAGTCGTGGGAAAGTGTTTTATGTGCGTTCTCTTTTTTTTCTATTAACCTTTTAAGACTCTTCTTACTTGCATTTAAGCGATCTATCTTATCAATTAAACCAAAACACTTTGATAAACGATTAGCATACAATTTTGCCTATAAATTTTCTGCCTAATTTTGCTTTCCTTTGTTTCATTATTGTTTTCAGCAAGTTGTTGCATCGTTCTATAATATTTTCCACAATATTAGCTCGAGTTTTTACTCAAAAGTGATAAGATTTTGAATAGAATGACTTTCTTGTTACTACTTGTTATCAGGATTGTTCTAAGGAGTCAAAACAGGCCATGTAGAGTAGGATCAAGTTTGCATGAGTAATTTATATCCGATTAGCCAACGCTTTTGTCAAGTAGCGACAAGAAATCCTCGTTACACGCCGAGTAAATTGAATATCTTTACATTTCAAGGGGAATTTGCCACCAAATCAGTGAAACGGCTGAATATCTTTAGAAGGAGTCGTATATAAGACGGCGCTCGTATAGAAGACGGCGCTTGTATATAAGGCGGCGCTCGCTTAGAAGGCAGGCTCGTATAAAGACCGATTAGAGACCGGATTCACCATCTGTTCAGCTAGCCCAGTCCAGTCGGTGCTACTAGAATTGGGTCGGACTAGATATGGGAAAATTCCAATATCTTTAGAAGGAGTCGTATATAAGGCGGCGCTCGTTTATGAGGCGGGCATCTATATGAGGCGGCGCTCGTATATAAGGCAGCACTTGTATATAAGGCGGCGCTCGTATATAACGCGGCACTTGTATCTAAGGCAGGTTCGTATATAAGGCGACGCTGGCGATTTTTCTGCCAATTTTTGCTAAAAGTACAGTAATTTTTTCCATGTCTTCGTCTGCGTTTTAAAAAACACATTACTCACGAGGAACATTCTAGTTCTAATCTAGTTCTAGTTCAGAATCTAGCTTATTAACCCTAAGATTCGATTGGCCTGCTTATTAGCATATAACCTTCAATGAGCAAAAATACCCTAAATCCTAATCTTCTTTTGAAAATAACCGTACATAAACATTTTTGCATTTTTGGACTAACAAGCTTTTGATACCTTAGAAAAACAACATCCCTAAAAGCAATCCGATACAAACTTGTTTTCCGGAAGCTCTAACGATCCTCTCAAAGCATTACCTTTATTAATATTGTTATTTTTGTGATCTAAAGCTCATCACACATTTTCTTGAATCTATTTTTGAAAATTTTTTACTGTATTCACCCAGTGCAATTCCAGGATGCCGCCCTCCACCAAACGCGGCCCTTTGCCCATCCATTTTGATCCATCAGCGATACGGGCACGCTATCTGCCAGAAGTCCGCGGGATGCCCCGGTATAGGCATTTTCTTGGGTAAGTTATTCTTTAAAGCATTTAAATGTTGAAACTTGTACATATTTTGTACAACTTGTACATATTTTTGTAAAGTACTTGCCAAATCAAAATCGTTTGGTGTTCGCACAAGCACAAATACGACAATTAGCTCTTGTTATTCGTGTAGAACTAAGTGAGCCACAAGTTAAGTATTAGAATTATATATTTCAAAGTTTCCAAGTATTAGAATTATTTACCTGATTGCTTTTCTGAAGGCTTATAAGCCAGATCGGCAAAGCCAGAAATCTTGCTTTACTCGATTTATAGCCTAGCTTTGGCGTTTATGCGTCAGCTAAGCTAGAAATAAGATTGTGGGAACTTTTATACACGCCCCGCCCCCTTTGCCATTGGCAATCCAACTTTGAGCTCAAATATCTTGGGGTGGAGCTGTCCATTTGAAATAGATTTTGGTACCAATCGACAGAGAAAGACTTGGCACATCTAATGATACCAAGAACATTTAAATTGGACAACCCAACACCAAGATATTTGAGCTTAAAGCTAGATTGCTAATGGCAAAAGGGGGGGACGAACGCGCCCGCCCTTTTGCCATGGCAACTTGCCAATATCTGGTGGGCTGTCCATTGTAGTTTTTGTATCAATCAACAGAGAAAGACTTGACACTTCCAATGATACCAAGAACATTTAAATTGGCGTTTAACCCAAGTATTTGGTTCAAACTGTTGCTATGGCAAAAGGAGCGAGGCGCGTATCAAATGTCCGATAACCCAAAAATAAAGCCTAGCTTGGTTCGCAGCTAGTGCTATTGTAAGCCAAGCTCCAAGCTTACTATTAGACAAATAAGACCATAAGTCAAGCTTATCTTGGTTCTTAGCTTGGCTCTGCTCTTGGACTGACCTTTGGAACAACCTTAGTGCCTCCTAGCCTTCAGTAAAGTGTTTTCATTACCTTTATCACTTTAAATAAAGCGTTTTTGATAGTCTAACCGTAAGTCACGGTCTTGACTTACGGTTAGACTATCAAAAGCGCTTTATTTTACATTGTACCCAAGCCTGGTACTTGTTCATTTTCATTGCTTCCAAAACTAAGCCGAACATTCCCATTCTTCTCCTATAGACTTCCTGTAGTGTGAAGGTTTCCCGAATTAGACTCCCCCTCAATTTCTCAGCTTAATCCCTCAATAACATTATTATTGCTTGATTTCTTTGATTGCGCCGTTTTTATTTAAGGATTATTCACATGTAATGAATACTTTTTAATCATACATTTGAAGATTTGTATTTTTGTGAATATTCAAATGAAGGGGAGAAGCCACTAATCCGATAAATGTCTCGCAATAAAATTCCCCAATCGTTGCCAGGGGAATTGGTGAAAATCCGGGGGTTCAAAAGGTTTATCATAAATTTTAATGAAAGCGATGTGGGTTTCAAGAGTTCTCTGTGAACTTCTAAAATGGATCAAGAAATCCTTTTTGAGTTACCTTGTCAGATATTGGGCTTGTTGGACCAACAAACTTAGAGACTAAAAGTCGTTGCTACACTAGGGTGCTACACTAGTCGGTGCTACACTAGTCGGTGCTACACTAGTCGGTGCTACACTAGGGTGGAGTCACTAGGAGATGCAAATTATTATGTATATGCAAATTTTCTAGTTGCCCTACCCTAGTATAGTAGCACCTAAAAGCCATAGCACTCAAATTTCTTGCAGTAAGCTTTCTAGAGAGCTAAATTTGCTTAACGGACTTGTTCCAAGGATAATTTTCCGGACAAGATCAACCCCGGCTTTTTGCTTGGTCTTGCTGTAGCAGATCTGTAACAAGACCAAGCAAGAAGCCAGAGCTGATCTGTAGCAAGACCAAGAGGAGAAAAAGGTACGGCGAGACAACAATTGAGTGGAATTAGTACTTTCCATCGTCGTTTCATGTTGGTTATGACCTCTGGCTTTGTTATATTTCATAAAAATCTTAAGCCTAACTTTTGTCCAGCTCTAGCATGGCTCGGTCTTTCTTGCTAGTCTGAATCTTGATTTCAACTTTAAAGTCTCAAGTGTTATATAAAGAATTGTAGCTCTTAAGCTTGGTTACATCTATCTACCAAATCTACCATTTATCTATCTACATTTATCTTCCGGATGTATACAGCGCATTTAACAAGTTCTTGAATGAGCAGTTAGAGCTAATTGCTGTTGTTAGAGCTATTTAGGACTAATTACGAGAGCAAGTCACCTAGCTTAAAGAACCAGAACTTGCTAGTCTAAAGCTATCAGGAAGTAAATATTTCTGTTATTGCTAGTTTCCAAAGACTTATAAACAATCTGAACATTTCCCGCTTGCCTACTCACCAAATGAGTCACTTTATTGCTTTGCTAAAAGCGCGTATTTTACTCGCTTCTCTCAAATTTTATTAATTTCCCCCATTATTCATATTTGACGAATTCCTCGTTTTGATCAAAGAAGCCTTGGTTTTGTGGAGTCTTCTTCTCAGCGGTGCTTCTTCCGTATGCAGGGAATTGCGTGGAAGACCCTCCTCATTCCCCTCAACATACACATCTCTCTTCATGTAGGTCCTCTTGGCCCTAGTTTGAATAAATTGATCTGAGTTTAGCTTGGCTTTGTGCCAAAGAAGGAACTCATTCGAGTTTCATTCGAGAAAAATATTGTTACAAAGGAAAATTGCTAACAGTCAAGGGGATGCGATGAAGCAAAGAAAAGCAACATAAAGCAAGAATTGGCTTGCAACTAGAAAATTGGATTTAATTTGAAATAGAACGACTATATTTGAAAAGTTGAGATCAAGAAACTTTTGAAAACTCAAATGTTGCAAGCTAGTTATAATGGCCGACTGCTTACAAGCCGACTGCTTACAAGCCGACTGCTTACAAGCCGACTGCTTACAAGCCGACTGCTTACAAGCCGACTGCTTACAAGCCGACGCTTACAGCCGACGCTACAAGCCGACTGCTACAGCCGACTCTTACAAGCCGACGCACAAGCCGACTGCTACAAGCCGACGCTACAAGCCGACGCTTACAGCCGACGCACAAGCCGACTCTACAAGCCGCTGCTACAAGCCGACTGCTCAAGCCGCGCTTGCCGACTGCTTACCGCTCTGTATCTTGCCAGGGAAGGTCAACTGGCTGAGCCGAATACTATGCGACCTATACCATTCCACGTAGAACTTGATGCTGATTCCGGATATCCATTCCGTTTTTTCTAAATGACAATCTGCCAGGAGTTATAAGCGTCTAAAGTTTTGTTAGGGCCCCGAACATGTGGTCATTTGGGTCTCCTTGCGAACTCCTTACCGGCCTTCTTGCGGCCTTCTTAAAGGCCTCGTTGGGGAACCAACTCAGTGCAGCCGTGGCCGAGTGGTAAAGCGTTTGTTTCCAGAGTCAGACGCCAGTTCGACCCCCGCTTTGGTTCTTGTTTTGCTTTTTTTCAAGCGGCACCAAAGGTTCGCAAGGAGGCCGCTAAGACCCAAATGATCACATTTTCAGAGTCCCAACAAAACTTGCTTGTGTATCACATTATTCCTGTGAATAAATGTATCTTTATATAAAACGGGAGGGTTAAACAAGATTAACTAGTTTGGTGATGACTTTCATTGAAAAGATCCAGATCTCGGTGCAGCCGTGGCCGAGTGGTACAGCGTTCGTTTCCAGAGCGAGACGCCAGTTTGACTCCCGCTTTGGTTCTTGTTTTGCGGCACCAAAGGTTAGCAAGGCGGCCGCTAAGTTGAAATAAAACATTTCCAAAATGATATAGTGCAACCAAGCAAACTAAAAAAGCTCCATTGTGCGATCTCTGTGATAAGGCTTAACTTCTTTACCCAACTAAACCGTTAGGTTGGCTGATTTTGGTCTGACTATCCTTTTATGGATTGATTTAGGGCTTAAACAGCTAAACCAGTTCAGAAATCTCTTGAAGTTTATCGTTTTGTTATGCAGATTTGGCTAGTTTTGCTCCGATTCTCCAGTTTCACCTCCAGAAAGCACTCTTGAGCTTCAAATCTCTTTCACCAAACATTTTCCGCACCTCTAGCCAAGTCAAATCACCTAGAATTTATCCAAAACTCGTTTTTGACTCGTTTCAACTTGTCTCGCAAAGTTTCCCTCTCAAAAAATCGTCCATTTCCTCAAAAGCCCATCTCGAAGTCAGAGTCACTCAAAAATTCGACACGAAGGTGTTTCCATTACAAGAAAGACCCAGTTTCATTCTCGTCTCCACCTTCTCTCGAGAAAAATGATTCACTTTTCGACGTGCTATTTCTGAAAACCTCTATTGATTTAAAGTTTTCTGATTTCCGATGTTATTTATGCTAGCTAGTGCAAGTAGGAAGCGACAAGAGCAAAAGTGAGTTGGCTAACTATCGTATTTCCCATTTCTCTTCTAAGCTTTGCCTAAATTTCTCTATATCTCGAAAGCCGCTTATCAGAACCTATCGATGTGGGGTCGGAAAATGTAGCTGACGATGAGATCTTTTCGGGGATTAGAGTGTTGAGCTCCTGTGAAAACCTGAAAACCGTGAAATAGCCATCAACTCGGCTCGGCGGGGTGCACTACTATTCGAGAGAATAGTAGTGCACCCCGCCGTTAAAGTTCAATAGTTTAAATGCAAATTGATTTCCCATTATTCTCAAGCTTCTCGGCTTCTGGATTTTTGGTACATTTGCCTGTAAACTCTTCCGATTGTTGGAACTTATTGGAAAGAGAATAATGGCTTGTAATTGACTACCGCATTCTCTCTAATAGTCTGCACCCGGAGCGTCACCTAAATTCCTCTATATCTCGAGAACCGCTTATCAGAACCTATCGATGTGGGGTCGGAAAAGGTAGCTGACGATGAGATCTTTTCGGGGATTATAGTGTTGAGCTTCTGCAAAAGCTTGGAAACCGTAAAATAGTCATCAACTCGACTCAACCGGGGTGCACTACGATTATGGAAATTTCGCCCCCAGTTGCTTGCTTGATTGGACTATTCAAGTGTAGTGCTATCAGTCAAAGTTAAGTATTCTAGAATTCTAGAGCGTTAAATATCCATTTTCTACCGTAATCCTTTCTATTCTGCACTAACTTTAGCCGATAAGCATACGCATAGGCAAGATAAGCAAGTCTTGCTACTGTTTTTTGTTACTTTTTTGTTCAGATTGTACTACTTTGCGCCTATTTTTACATCCAAATCGCTGATAACAAGCCAAAATATTAAGTTTTTGCTTTCTTCTATGCTAACTTTCTGTGCTACACTTGATTAGAGTGCGGCCAGTGTAATCAAGCCACCAGTTTACATTCGATCGGCTAAATTTTAGTGTTATTTGGTGAGGAACTCAGTTAACCTTACCGAAATTTAGCTAAATGGATGTAAATTTACAGTTTAAGTGCTTCTAGAGGTGTCTTCTAGGAAACAAATTGCTAAAAAAGCTAAAATGAATGCTATGATTACCAAAATTACCAAAGAATGATTACTAAAAGTGGATTTTTGAGAATTCAGTCTGAAAATCTCTCTTGAAAATCTGGTCCTTTGTTCTAAATCCAATGATGTAGATTCGTGAGTCAACAAGAATGGTTTCAACAGAAACTATTGAAAATATCAGACGTTCTTTGCTCACTGAAACAAGTGACTAAGAAAAGAAACTCGTAGTGATGAAAAAAACAGTTTGACTTCATAGGTTGTGTCTGAGCTACACTCAAAATAGAAATAACGGAAATGACCTATTAGGCGACGGAATTCATCAATTCGCTTATAGAAATAGACACTCAAATGCCGTCAAGCCTTGTCCAAATTTATCCACGCCAACTTTTCAGCTCTGCCAACAAACATCATCATCAAGCGTCGGCCAGTACTGGCATCGATCGAGCTGATTATGTGGCTGAACTGCCGCAGTTGATACAACCAGCCAGGTGAGCCAGAAATTGAAATTTTTTGAACTAAACCTTTGGAAAAGCTATTTTGTCGGCTTTTTCCTTGACTTGTTGATCTTTTGATCGTTCCAGCGGACAAACCAGATCGGAAACAAGGCTTGGCCTGGCTTTGGTACTTGTCTAGTCCAGAAAAGTTGTTGGAAAAACTATTTTGTGAGAAAAGGGAAAGGAAAAGCTATCATTTCAGCTAAAAAGCTTCCTTGACTTGTGAATCTTATGATCAGGATTGTTCCAGCGGACAAGCCAGATTAGAAACAAGGTTTTGGCCTGCCTTTGGCCTGGCTTTGGTACTTGTCTAGTCCATAAAAGTTGATAGAAAACCATTTTGTGAGAAAAGGGAAAGGAAAAGCTATCATTTCAGCTAAAAAGCTTCCTTTACTTGTGAATCTTATGATCAGGATTGTTCCAGCGGACAAGCCAGATTAGAAACAAGGTTTTGGCCTTGCTTTGGTAGATGTCTAGTCCATAAAAGTTGGGTCTGCCGGGAGATAAGGCCGGAATCTGGCTTCTGGCCTGGTTTTACCTAGCCAGACCTAAATGTTATAATGAAAACTACGTAGAATACATTTTATAAACTGCACAGAACTATGAAAAACTTTTTATTGGCAAAATTCGACTGAAATTACTTGATTAAACAAATAGAGTGATTTAGTTTCTTTAAAATGATCAAAAGTTCAAAATGAACACTTTTTCTTTGTGATCAGTATACAATTTTTAAATAAATACTAAAGAAATATCGTATTTATATCGTATTTTATGCTTTTTACGAGCTTTTTATCAACTTCCAGACAATACCAAGTCTTCCGCGACGAGCAAAACCCAACTCTCGACATCACACCCGGTGTCACAGCTTTAACAATTGGTAAGTCAATTTTCAATTTTCAATATTACTAGGTTGGTGCAAATGAAATTTCGTTTTTTTACAAACATTAAAGTCATCCAAAATTTTTTTTGATAACAATTTATTTAAAACAATAAGCACCATTATTATCTATGACATCCCTCCAACGTTGCTACAGATTGCGGATCCCCTTCTCAAAGAACGCTTGATTCTGTGATGCAAAGTAGTTGGTCACCCAATTTTCGACTTCTTTTGCATTCTTAAACTGGCAATTCTCAAGGGAATGTTGCATCGATCTGAAAAGGTGAAAATCGGAGGGTGCTAAGTCTGGACTATACGGCGCATGTGGTAAGACCTTCCATCCTAGCTTCTCTAGTTCCTTAGAAGAGGTTTTTGCCGTGTGAGCTGGAGCATTATCACGGAGAAAGTTGATAGTTGAGGGATTTAGGCCTTTTTCACGCAAAATTTCGTCAACCTTCTTGAGTTGTTGAATAAAATAAGATGAATCGACTGTTTTTCCGGGCTCTAATAATTCAAAATGAACAAGTTCATTGATATTCCACCAGCAAGACAACATCACTTTGCGCCCATGATAATCCGGCTTTGGAGTTGGAATTGGCGCTTGACCTTTGCTCAGCCATTGTCTTTTTCGAGAAGTATTATCAAAAGTGAATCCACTTCTCATCCATCGTCAAGATATTCTCAAAAAAAATGGCTTCTTTTCGACTTCTGGAGCAAGATATGGCTGATCGGAACGCGTGCTCCCAGATTCTCAACACTCAATTGATGTGGAACCCATTGTCCATTACGATTTGTCTTTCCAATTATTTCCAAATGGCGTACAATTGTTGAATTGGAGATGTTTGGCAAGTTCTCGTGTTGTTTGCATTGGATCAGCTTCAATTCATTGTTGTCGATGGCTGTGGCACGATGTCCATGCGATTCGTCTTCAAGGGATTCATTACCATCTCGGAATTGGGCAAACCAGAGCTGGCATGATCTTTCGGTGATAACCTGTTCTCCAAAGGCGGAACAGAGATCACGATGTGAATCATCAGCGTTTTTGCCCATTTTGAAGTCATAGAGAAGACACGTGCGCAGAACATACTTTTGATCCACCATGATCTAAAGCAAAAATCAATTAAAAAGTGAAAGCTCTGACTTTGAAAAAATGCGAAAATAAAGTAAATATCCAAGAGTACAAATGCACAAAAGAACATCAAATAAGCTCTTCAGATTAAAAAAATAAGAACATTTTATATCGACCGAAATTTCTTTTGCACCAACCTAATAAATCAATATACAATTTGAGTCATAAATGAGACTAAAGAGTTTCAAAAATATTCCCACCTTTCGACTTTGTGCTGGATTTGTCTCTCTGGATTTTGTGCTGGATTTCTCTCTCTCTCTTTCTCTCTCTCTCTCTCTCTTTTTCTCTCTCTTTTTCCGCATTTCTGTTTTCGTCACAAATCGGTCGGATATTCACGCAATATCCGTTGACTAATCCGCTTCAGTAAATACCAGTTGAGGGAAAGATTTTCTCGATTTTTTGATGGGAAAACATGACCAAAAGATTGGATTGGATATTTAATAATAATCAAGTTTGGATTTTACATTTACGTCATTGATTCTTGGAAACATCTTTCTGGTAGATTTTCTTGGTAGATTAAGTGGGAAATTGTGTAAAGTAATGTTCGAATATGTTGTCATATTGTGATAACATATTGTTATCATATTTGTGAGGAAAATGGCATTAAAGAGTTCAAAGGTTAAAGCTTTGGATGAAATCAACCAAAGCTTAATTTGATAAGCATAACTAAGGCATCTGATATGTCTGAACGTTGAGTTGTCTCAAGCTTTAGCTACCTGTTGACCTATCTACTATATATAAAGCAGAAGAGACGTCTGTCTGTCTGTCTGTCTGTCTGTCTCTCTGTCTGCCTGTCTGTCTGTGTGCGCCAAATTTTTTGTGCAACTTGCCATAACTTTCTTTTAACTAGGGAATGTTGTTAACTTATCTTGACTTTTGACTCGGGAAATAGCCTCTCTGATGCAGTTTTTCACGCTGATTCCGAATCTGCAATCGGTTTTTGTCAAACGCTTCTCTATCGTGAGATATTTGGCATACAAGTATTTGGGGTCTCTTTATGAGGGCGACGCACTGTCTAAAGTCAACGGCCTCGGTGGTGTAGTGGTTAGTGCGCGCGTCTGCCGGGCGTATGGCCTTTTGGACCCGTATGCCCTTTTGGACACCCTTTTGGACCCCCTTTTGGATTTGAATCCTTACAATGGAATTTTTTGGTTTTTTAAAGTTTTATTGTTTCCTATAAAGCCAAGCTGGTCCCTCTTTCCATCCCAAGAGGCCCCCAAAAACTTGTATGCCAAATATCTCACGATAGAGAAGCGTTTGGCAAAAACTGATTGCAGATTCGGAATCAGCGTGAAAAACTGCATCAGAGAGGCTCATCAGCTCATCGGATTTCCTGAGTCAAAAAGCCACAATAAGTTAACAGCATTCCCTAGTAAGTAGGCGAATCTGTATGATTTTGGTGTCATTTTGTTGCACTTGTTGAGATCTTGTAGTCACGGGAAATTCATGTTGTTATCGGCTCACTAAACATCGATCCTCTAGATCCTCTAGAACCTCTAGAAGGTTGTCCTCTAGAACTTTATCCATTTTAACATAACATTTCTAAACTTAAGCACTAGATGATTTCACAATCCGAATTCTCGTATCATCACCATCGTCAAACCCTCGTGATTCACTCAGGGAATAACATTTTCGAGTATCCTACGTCACTCCAGTCCACGAATATTTCATTAGACTCCTCTCAACTCTTTTCACATACCCTCCAGAGCGTGATTAGATGCTATTTTCACCTAAACACACTCTATTTTTGGAAAAGACTTATGAATGGCCTCGTTGAGTCCGAGAGGTGAAAAGGTATTGATGAATTCTTGGCCATTGATTCAGGGGAAAGGGTGAAAATGAAAAATGGAAAAACTAGACTTGTTTTATAGAAAGTAGTACTTGTAAACATTGAACTGATTGATTTGAATTTCAGTGAAAAAACGTCGGATACGAAAGAACAAGGAGATCTTACCGTCACTCAAACCAAACGATAAGAAGAATGAGAAGCCGAAAGAGAGATCAGAAACTCTTTCAGAAGCTGGTAAGGAATAAACTTTGATTAGTACTTTTAAGGAATGAACAACTTTGATTAGTACTTTTAAGGAAGGTACAACTTTGATTAGTACTTTTAAGGAATGAACAGCTTTGATTAGTACTTTTAAGGAAGGAACAGCTTTGATTAGTACTTTTAAGGAAGGAACAGCTTTGATTAGTACTTTTAAGGAAGGAACAGCTTTGATTAGTACTTTTAAGGAAGGAACAGCTTTGATTAGTACTTTTAAGGAAGGAACAGCTTTGATTAGTACTTTTAAGGAAGGAACAGCTTTGATTAGTACTTTTAAGGAAGGAACAGCTTTGATTAGTAGTTTTAAGGAAGGAACTTTGCTTAGTACTTTTAAGAAAGGAACTTTGATTAGTACTTTTAAGGAATGAACTTTGATTAGTACTTTTAAGGAAGGTACAACTTGGATTAGTACTTTTAAGGAATGAACAACTTTTATTAGTACTTTTAAGGAATGAACTTTGATTAGTGCTTTTAAGGAAGGAACTTTGATTAGTACTCAAATTGCATAGCTTAACAGAGATTTTCCACGAAATCCTGTCATTTTCTTTAACAGCAGTGTTTTTTATTAGATTTTAAAGAAAACCCCAGCTTTTTTTCAGTCAGATACAGTACTGGACAATGAAATATGATATTTGAAAAACGATCGTCACTTTCGCGCGTCTGTAACTCCCTTGTCTTTGAGTTTAAACTATTAGTGTTATACATTTTCTGAAAGCTCTTTTTAAGGGCTACACAATGGTAATATTAATATTTAGAAATACGGTAAAGACATGGGAGTTACAGACGCGCGAAAGTGACGATCTTTTTTCAAATATGATATTTAATTGTCCAGTAGTGTAGCTACCCTTTTATTACTTGATTTTGGAAATTTTTCTTCTTTTCAGTAGAGAAGAAGCGAAACAGTGTAGCGTTATCGAATTCGACCTCATCCGAAGCCAGTATTCGATCGTTTACCGGAGTCCGCTTGCATGATGAGCTTTCGTCAGCTCCGAGAGGTTAGTGATAGATTAGATGAAAGGATAGATTAATTATTATTTACTCTATTATCCTAATTTCATCTTGAGTGCTCAAGAATAGCCAAAGATTGTTTCAACAGCCGGTTCGATACCCAGGATTGTTCCTAAGGTCGATAGCCAGCCTTGATCTGGTTCTGGAACAGTCCATTAATCATTTAAACTATTGATAAAGAGAGAAAACTTTGTCTACATTAGCTTTGTCTTTGTCTTTGTCTCAACTTTGTCTCAAACATCTGTAAGTTGTTGGCTAAAAGCCCATTATTCTGACTTAATTCTGACGATAGAATCCGATTCCGTTGTGTCGTGAACTGTCACACTACAAACGCTTCTAGCTTGCTTCAAATCTGTCGGATTGACATGAGCCATAGCTCAAAAAATAGAGAATCTCAAGAGCTTTCGAATCGACTAAAGCACACCCAAAAATATCAATGCTAAAGAAAGTTACAGTTGTTTGTAGCAGACTTGTAACGAAAGCACATGTCTGTCCTTTTTGCCGTTGACAATTTAAGGTTTTTCATGTTTTTCTCAGCACCAACTCTCCTATTTAAACTGTCATCCAATGCGAAATAAAATTGCGCGTCGAATGATATCAAAATTAACCTAAAATATAACATCCAGGCAAAGTTGTTGGCTAAAAACCAAAACCCCGCCTATTATGGGCAGGACTTAACCTTTTGCCTCATAACTTTACCTGGATATTATATTTTGAGTTGATTTTGATATCATTCGACGCGCAATTTTAGTCTGCATCAAATGATAGTCAAAATAGTCAAAATCGAAGGGTTGGTGCTGAGAAAAACACGAAAAACTTTAAATTGCCAACGGCAAGATAGGACTGACAGATCTTTTTGTTAAAAGTTTAGTTTAAATCATAGTTTGCTGATAACTTGACTGGAATCTATAGATAAACTTTAGCTCGAAACTTTGAATACTCAAATGGACATTTGTTGAATGGAATCAAAGAGGATGCGGATAGTCTTTCCGTTAAACAACAACCGACAAGAAGCAAAAGTGCTCACGATATGTTGGATGAACCATTTGAGGTAGGCTGATAAATTTGTAGCTTTAGAAAGAAATATAACTTATCTATAACTTATCTATAACTTATCTATAACTTATCTATAACTAATCGTATAATTGATCATTTTAGCCCATCCCACCAACAACTTCCACTCACAGTCTACGTGACACGAGAGATATCGCCATTCAAACAACAGTCAGTGTTTTAAAATTGAAGCTTATACGCTTTCTATTTAGCTCTAGCTCTAGCTCTAGCTCTAGCTTTAGCTTTAGCTCTAGCTTTAGCTCTAGCTCTAGCTTTAGCTCTAGCTCTAGCTTTAGCTCTAGCTTTAGCTCTAGCTTTAGCTTTAGCTCTAGCTTTAGCTCTAGCTTTAGCTTTAGCTCTAGCTTTAGCTCTAGCTCTAGCTTTAGCTCTAGCTTTAGCTCTAGCTCTAGCTTTAGCTCTAGCTTTAGCTCTAGCTTTAGCTTTAGCTCTAGCTTTAGCTCTAGCTCTAGCTTTAGCTCTAGCTTTAGCTCTAGCTTTAGCTCTAGCTTTAGCTCTAGCTTTAGCTTTAGCTCTAGCTTTAGCTCTAGCTCTAGCTTTAGCTCTAGCTTTAGCTCTAGCTCTAGCTTTAGCTCTAGCTTTAGCTCTAGCTTTAGCTTTAGCTCTAGCTTTAGCTCTAGCTCTAGCTTTAGCTCTAGCTTTAGCTCTAGCTTTAGCTTTAGCTCTAGCTCTAGCTCTAGCTTTAGCTTTAGCTTTAGCTAGAGCAAATCAGAGCTCATTGTCAACTCTTTTAGAATAAACTGCTTTCTTGTAATTAATGCTAAATAGACTTTTCAGTCAATGAGCACCCAAACAACTCTGGATCACTCGGAAACTTCGACTTCGAATGCGATTGGAACACAAACAGAAACAATGCCTATTTTGATACATCCAAGGCGGAGAAGTGAAGCTTACAATCAACAATTGGTGAGTAATCAACTAAACTTACTATAGAAAATACATTAGCAGGGTTAATGAGCAATTGATCAGCTCATAACACAAATCTCATAAGCTTATTGATCATTTTAAGCTGGAAGAGCAAAGTGCCTTGATGGAGTTGATCGACGAGGCTTTGGATGAGACGATTGATCGCTATAGTCGACTGCGAGCCAATCAAATCATTGCAAGTAGTGCGAGAAGACAAGTGAGTCAAAGCTGAGTACTTACAATGGAATGGTCCGAACTGAGCGGATTTCGCCACGCCGTTGAGATGCAAACGTCTATCGAGTATGGGGAACACGATGCTCTATTTATTTTTTTGCCCATTCACAATGGTTCACGAGAAAAGCGCTCACACGTACCTCTAAACCATCCAGCTACATTTGAGGGCCATAAAAAGAGCCCATAAATCCCCAAGGTGTGATTTTCCGAATGATTTCCCAAACTTTGCAAACGCTTTTCTTGTGTACCATTGAGAATGGGCAAAAAATAAATAGAGCATCGTGTTCCCCATACTCGATAGGCGTTTACATCTCAGCGGCTTAGCGAAATCGTCTGGTCAGTTCAGCCAGCTTGTTAGAGTACTTATGGGTTTACCCCGGCGGTGAATCGATACTATTAGGGTGGTGCAAAAGAAACTGCGGATTTGACGGTAAATTCAAAAAAAAAGATGGCGTTCGATGGTGACATGATCACAATGGAATATTTTCGCAAGATCTCGAGCAGATCGGCACGGATCGGCCTGAATAACGTCCCTCAGCTTGGCTTCGTTCACGACTTCTGGCCTCGAACCGTGCTCGTAATCTTCCAAAGCATCGTCTCCCTCTCGGAATCGTTGGAACCAAATCTGACACTGCCTGAGAGACAAACTGCCTTCTCCGAAAGCAGCACAGAGAGAACGATGCGATTCGGCAGCAGACTTGGTTCCTTTTCTCTACAAATTTGGTCCTCTTTTCTCTTTTGGTTCCTTGCGAGACAACGATGCGATTCGGCAGCAGACTTTCCAATTTTGAAGTTAAACAGTAATGCTGCTCGTAGCACAAACTTTTGCTCGACCATGATCTAAATAAAAAATATAAGCATTTTTAAATAAAATAAACAACAACCAAAAAATTCAAATGTCAAAATAAATAGCAAACAAATATGCAAACAAAACATCAAAAAAAATAATGCCGTTAGCATCGCTCGTTTCTGATAAATGAGAGCTGATACCCATCGGAAGTTTCTTTTGCACCACCCTAGTAGAACGCCACCGCTTGTACAGTCGCGTAGTTTAACTTTAGGATGTTTTATTAGGGGATTTACGGTTGGCAACCATTAATCCATAACGATCATTGTTATTTTACATAGTTAGCATCGCTCGTTTCTGATAAATGAGAGCTGATACCCATCGGAAGTTTTTTTTGCACCACTCTAATAGTTTTAGTGAAAATTTACTGTTAAAGCATGAATTATTGTTAAAGCAAATTAAAGCTAAACAATTTCGAATAAAAATTTTATAGGCTCAAATCTGGAAAGACGCGAAAGAGTTCGTGGCGAAAATCCTGGTGCCTCAAAGTGTCGACATGGCGAATAAGGGTCGAGCTCAAAAGCGAACAGCCGCCGAAATTGTGGCGAAAATCAAAATCTATCCATAGTTATCATTTTAATGAAAATTTGACTAGTTAAATATAAATATAAATATAATTATTTAATTAATGAATTTAAATTTAAATATATTGCTACTTTGCTTTGCTACTTTGCTCATTTAACCTTTTTATATCTTCCTTTCTACGGGTTTTCTTTTCTAGTTTCGAGTGTCATCTTATGTAAATTAGTTTCCTGAAAACGCTATGATAAATTTCTATTTATGTTTTGAAAATTTGGTGCAAGTATGTTTTTAGCTCAGTATAAAGTTTTTGAAGTGAAATTGATAGGTCAAATAGCAATTGAAAGTTTTATTGTAACTCTAAACACCCATCAAAGGCTTTAGTTGATAGTTGGATAGTTGAAATCGATCGTTTCGATATTTCATCCATATTTCATGTTTCATTTTTTATATTTGTATTTCATATTCAAGCTTTTGCTTTGCTTTGCTTCAAGCTTTTGCTTTGCTTCAAGCTTCAAGCTTTGCTTCAAGCTTTGCTTCAAGCTTCAAGCTTTGTTCAAGCTTCAAGCTTTGCTTCAAGCTTCAAGCTTTGCTTCAAGCTTTTGCTTTGCTTCAAGCTTCAAGCTTTGCTTCAAGCTTCAAGCTTCAAGCTTTGCTTCAAGCTTCAAGCTTCAAGCTTCAAGCTTTGCTTCAAGCTTCAAGCTTTGCTTCAAGCTTCAAGCTTTGCTTCAAGCTTCAAGCTTCAAGCTTTTGAGATCCTTTAGAATTATAGATACGAGAGTTAAAAGCAACCTATTAATTAACGAAAGAGTTAACACTTGCCGTAAATACTGTAATAGTGTCCCACTCCCATAATGACGGTGCAGGTGCGGAGTGTTCGGATCTTCTTAAATTCTCTGATTCTTTTTATTTCATAAGTGTTTCCAGCCAAAAGATAGCCAATTTTTCACAGAATTTAAATCTTATTACAGTTTTGAAATAGCTCATTTAGATTTTGAGTTATCACAATTTGCTTGAGTTCGCTTTTTTCGCTTTCGCAATTCGCTTTTTTCGAAGAGCAAGAATAGCGATAGCAAAAAATCTAAATGAGCTATTTCAAAACTGTAATAAGATTTATAATCTGTCAAAGATTGGCTATCTTTTGGCTATAAACACTTACCGTAAATACTGTAATAGTACCCCACCCCCATAATGACGGTGCGGAGTGTTGCGTAGTCTAGCTTTGGACGCGTTTTTCTCGACACTGGTTTATACTACAATGCGCGCTTTGGTATCAAAAAATAGCTGAAATTCAGGGCTATTTTTTGATACCAAAGATGCATTTTTTGAAAGTACGGGTGCTTTGAAAAAAATGAAATATTAAAAAACTTTTGCGACTACGCGACTGTACGAGCGGGGTGGGGTACTATTACAGTATTTACGGTAGGTACAAGAGTTAACTGTAACCTATCATTTAACGAGAGAATTAACACTTAGATACGAGAGTTAAAAGTAACCTATTAATTAACGAGAATTAACACTTAGGTACAAGAGTTAACAGTAACCCATCAACCATCAAGCATTTAAACCCAAAAGTCGTACAGAAAAATCAATGATTTGGTATCAAATTAATGAAGCTGGACTCATCTGGATCATATTTGTTCTAAAGCTTTAAAGAAGTAAATAGGAACTATAAAGGAGCTTTGAAGGGGCTTTGAACGAGCTTTAGAGGAGCTTTAGAGGAGCTTTAAAGGAGCTCTGATAGATCTGAAGATAAATCTGATAGTTGAAAGACAGATTTACAATTAGTTAGTATTAGGCTGTCCAGAAAGTCTTTTCATTTCTTTTTGTACTGTATGCTGCTCCAAAGATTCCAGCTGAGAACTTCTCTGCAATGACACGATTGGATCACAACGGCGCTTTGGCCCAGGTTAATTTATTGTGTTTTTGTCTACAAAAAGGAACTTTTAGATTGCCGCAAAAGCTGGAGTGACGATTGGAGCCGTGAAGAACGTGATCATTTGGGGTAACCACTCGTCCACACAATTCCCTGATTCCTACAACGACACGCTAAGGTTACAAAAGGTAAGTGGCAGTTTTAAACCAACAAATGGACCAATTGAACGACAACGCGTCAATTCATTGAGCCGGAGACACCCGAGACTAGCTGAACAACAACAACAACAACAACAACAACAACAACAACAACAACAACAACAACAACATTGCAACTTTGGACTGGCCTGCTCGATCTTCTGACCTCAATCCGATAGAGAATTTGTGAGAAATACTTGTCTGAGCTGTCTACAAGAATTATCGTCAGTTTCAAGACGTTTTTTGCACTTAAAGCCGCGATCCGTTTGGCCTGGAACGATCTCGACGTCTCTGCTCTTCAAAACCTTATCACTTCAATGCCAAACCGCATTTTTCAAATAATTAATCGTTCTGGTGCGTGTACAGATTATTAGTGTTAGTTCTTCACTTTTTATTGTTAATTTTTGTCGATAAATGGAAATGTTTTCATTTTCAATGTGCGCTTAAGAATTTGAAGCGATTGATTTACCAAAATGTTTCTATTTTGAAAATTTTTACTTTTTGCAGTATACTTATTTTTAGTGTTTTCTAGATTTTAAGACACGCTCTTTCCAATAGAAAAGGAATAATAGTTGCAGAATTGTTTAAAATGCAAAAATCTCTATTTTGAAGGGTGAGCTTTTCTAAAACTTTTCTATTGACACCAAAATGGGTGTCTTTTGAAGAAAGTGCTCAAACTGTGACATATGAACATCTCCAGTCCTCGATTTTTGAGTCTCACACTTGTCTCACACACAAACAAAAATGCTACTACGAAAGAGGAATCCGCAAATTGCCTGTAAAATGTAAAATAATTTTATCTATTAAATATTAAATTTTTTAAAAAACTGTTTCACCCATCATGTAACCAAGAACGCAAGGAGTTTTTTAGTATAAAACTTGAACCAGTTTGCTTTTTTGGATTGTGAGAAATTTGACGCCGCTGTTTTGAACGTTTTCTATTCGGTGCTGTTTTATTGGGTTGGTGAATTGAAAACTGCGGGCTATTGTTATATGTCAGAGTTTGAGCACTTTCATCAAAAGAAACCCATTTTGGTGGCAATGGAAAAGTTGTAGAGAATCAAAAATTAAGCTGATATCCAAATCTTCAGAACGATTCAAAAATTGGTTTTCAAGAAATGCCAAATTTACGAATTTTCACAAAACTTGCATTTTAAGCGAAACTACTAAGTGTTTCTTTTTGGAAATTTGGCTATAAGCCTAATTTTTGATCCTCTACAACTTTTCTATTGAAACCAAAATGGGTTTCTTTTGAAGAAAGTGTTCAAACTGTGACATATGAACATCTCCAGTCCTCGATTTTTGAGTCTCACACTTGTCTCACACACAAACCAAAATCCTACTACGAAAGAGGGATCTATAAGTTGCCTGTAAAATGGGCAGAAGTCGTTAATAATAATGGAAATTATTTGGAATGAATTGATAGTTTTATGTTAAATAAATTTTAGTTCAAAGTTCCGGAGTTTTCAATTCACCAACCCAATAGTACAGACAAATCAATGATTTGGCCACTATATGGTGGAAAAATTTTGAAAAATGGGTGATGCTGTAGTGGAAAAATTGAGTCGAAACACATGTTGTTGGTTGTCTTCGTCGTTGTCAAATCATCAATTGTTAGAGCGGCATAACGCAAAAAGCCTCTGACACTCGGGATTCCCAAGCCGTCTCCGATCCAAGTACTAACCGAGCCCAACGTTGCTTAACTTGGCAGATCGTTGCTTAACCTGGCAGATGGGATGCCGTGTTTTCAACGTGGTATGATCGTAAGCGGGCGGCGGGCGGTCATTGCCGATTGAAATAGCGAAAGAGTGAGTGATCCTTTTGTCGCTAAAGAGACGTGAACCCGCGCTGCGCACCTTTCGTGTGTCTCGTAAGAAAAAACGGCATCTGGCACACGGCCTTTCCACAAAGGGCGACAGATACCCAGCTGGTCGGTTTATTAACCCAAGTTTGAGGTTAGCATTAACCCCGAGGCGTTGTCGAAGTGTATCGGATAAATGGAACTCGTCTCCGTAAAGGAGATGCAGCAAGCAATCGAAACCAAACATTATCAATCATCAAATCCTGATCCGATCAAACCTTTTGAAAAATTGTCTTTTTGTTAGCTAATTTGAATGACTTTAGAGTTATCCACGTCTTTTTTGCCATGCCAACTTCCTGTCACTTGTGTGACCCGTTATTAAATCACTTTTTTGACATTTTCTTTGCGCTTACAGATTTCTCAAACTCAATAAAAAGTTGGAAAAGTACATTGTAGGGTCATTTAGTTTAGTAGTTTAGTAGTTTAGTAGTTTACTAGTTTACTAGTTTAGTAGTTTAGTAGTTCAGTAGTTTAGTAGTTTAGTAGTTTAGTAGATTAGTAGTTCAGTAGTTTAGTAGTTTAGTAAATTAGTAGTTTAGTTTAGTTTAGTTTAGTTTCTGTTTCATGTAGTTTAGTTTCTGTGTCATTTTTCTGCTCTCGGTGCTTTTTCTCCTTTTTGTTGCAATCCTCATTGAGATTATTTTTATTTTTACGAGTTTTTTTGCGATTTCTTAAAAATAAATAGAAAAATAAGCGTTTAACCCTACCACGGGCTAAAAAAAATCGATAAAAAAGAATAAAAAAGAGTAAAAAAAGATTAACACAGTGCTGCGAAAAAGAAAGTTGGAAAGTCTTCGAATTCAAAATCCTATTTTAGGTTGAAAATCTAAGTTTTCTTTTTGTTTTTTTTTGAAATGAGGCAAAAGAGTAGCACAATGTGAAAAAAGTCGAGGAAAAAAGGAAAAAAAGATTTTTGGAAAGACAACTAAATGAAAAAAAGTCGAATATGAAGAAAAATCACGATAAATTCGGGGTTTTTAGAAAGTATTCTGGGTTTTCAAGACAAAACAAAAGCAATTGAATAAAACAGAAAATGAAAATGCAAAGAAAAACAGTGAAATGAGTTCATTTTTCGTGAGGGTTTCGATGATTTTTTTAGCAAATTTATATGGCTTTGGTGTGCCAAAAGGTGAGCGTTTATGTTTATTGGGTCAATTGTAGCCTTGGCGCATAAATAAGGTTCGAGAAAAGCATATGTAAGTTGAGCTTAGGCTTAGGCTTAGGCTTGGACTTAGTACGAAGGCTAGCGGCTAGCGCCTCGCACCAAGTCTATTTGGGTTTGGGCTGAACCCCAATTTTCTGGATCTCAGCCAGTTCTCGAAGCTAAGGCACACCCGATTGCCCTTGTGCTTCAGGAACCCAAGGGAAGGATGCTTACCAAATTAGGCTTAGGCTTAGGCTTAGGCTTAGGCTTAGGCTCAGGCTCAGGCTTAGGCTTAGGCTTAGGCTTGGGCTTAGGCTCAGGCTTAAGCTTAGGCTCAGGCTTAGGCTTAGGTTCCTCGGCTTGAGGCTTAGGCTTAGGCTCAGCTCCTAGGCTTGAGGGGCGGGGTTTGTCGCGGTTTTGTCGGGTTTTCCTTGCCAATGGCAATCTAGGGTCATGAGTATGACTCTGGTTATGGGGATGATTAGCTGGAAAGTTCGATTACCAATCAAAATTTGCATAGAAAAATCAATTTCAAGCTAGTTTCAAGTTTTCTCAATAGTTTCCCTTAGTTTTCAGCTAATTTGAAAGTTCTGCTTTGTACCACAGAGCTGTGCATTTACAAGCTCTTTTTCTTCTTTCTAGCCTTCTTTCTTTGTTCTTTTTAACCAATTTGGCGCATAAATTAAAGCCAAAAGCAGCCAAAATCATCCAAAAAAAGCCAAAAAAGCCAAAAAAATCAATCAATCAATCAATAACAAATAGAATTGGCATATTTTCACGTTAAAAAAACAAGTTTAAACCAGTTTTTAACTGTTCAATACATCATAACTTTTCTTGAACTCAAATCACTGCTTTTTCTTTCCCTAAAACCACAAAAACGATCATCAAAACTGTACAAATGAGGTGACAAAAGTTTGACAAAATCGTTGACATAAGATTTATGGTTGTAAGCTTTTGAAAATCAACATCATTTTGCTCATTTACAACCATAAATTGACAAATTTTTTGAACTCAATAACAATATTGTCGCAAAAAAAAGAAATGAATTCAAAAAGTTTGTCATTTAACACAAAAATACCTAAACATTCTGTATAAGGAATAAGTTTACAAAAAAAAGACGAAAATTTCGTTATTCAATTGAATATTCCTAATTTTGGGGTGATAAAGGGGAAAGAAAAAGGTTTTGGAGAAGAGAACCCAAAAATTGAATTCATCTAAAGATGGCTCTTGATGGGAAGCCGGGAAATGATTGTTTTAAAGGCTCTAGACATAATTTAGTTGCTAAATTTTGATTTAGTTTTATAGAAGACAATTCAGGCTTTCGAATGATACCAAATAGAGCTGAATTGGATGATCCAGTCAAATGAAAATCAGTGTTGGATTGAAGTTGGGTGTCAGAGTTAGACCGGCATCACTTGGCCAGATTTAACTGCGGTTTTCATGGGACTGAAAAATCCAATTTGGCTCTATTTGGTATCACTTGAAAGCCTGAAATCTCCTCTACAAAACCAATATAAACAGTTGTCAGTAACTTTATCTTTAGCCAAAATTACGAGCCTTCAAAGCATGACCGTTCATTCGAAATGCCCGGATTCCCTCAAGAGCTCAAGTTCTATCGGCAGTAAGAGAACGGGTGATACCCAAAGGAAGAAAAACATCAAAAATCAAAAAAAGCGTTCTATTGGACCCATACGCACTCACAAAACGATTGTTTTGACTATTTAGGTAGAGAAGATGAGGTAGAAAAATCAGAACCTACCATTTTAGGTCCTGAGGATTCTACCCTGAGGGAAGAGGTCGATAAAGTGGAAAATTCTAGTGAGGATGAAGAAGATACACAGTAGATGAACAGTAGATGACCGTAGTAAAGAAGGATTACGGTAAAACTGCCGTAAGATTACGGTATGACTTTCGGCGGTCGACCACTGTTCACTCCAGCACTCCCCGCGAGCCCTGCGCGCTGTTGTTGGGCTGCTGCATACGCTTGATCCTGAAAAATTGTGATTAGAATTAATGAGATTTGTTTCTGAATGCAAATTTCTGTCCTTACAAGTATTTTAGCTCTCAAAAAGCTGATCTAAACCTACTATAATTGGTTTTTAAAAAAAACGTTTACGAGTTTTTAAAAAACTGCTTCTATTCAAATACAAATTCAATCAAAATGTTTTGTTTTTGCTTTAACTCAGAGCTCCATAAATAATCCTGAACTTATCTAGGCTTTAGAATCTCTTTTACTACATTTTTCTTCACATCTAACACTTCTAACACAACCTCGAATCACTAGAACGACACCGAAAGCCACCACGAGTCAAGAAATAGCTTTTTCAAGTGTTTTAGTTTCAAGTTTCTTCAAGTTCTTCAAGTGTTTCACAAGTGGAAGCCCGGAACTCAATTTTTGAATAGATTCTCACAACAAACTTGAGCAGATTCCAGTCGAAAATGTAGTCGTGACAGAATCCTTGTTGATGGAAAAGATTTCGGAAGAGTTGCCGGAGATGGGCGTAATCGGGTTGCTCCTCGAATCCCAACGCTCGACAATAGCGGAGGTATTGGGCAAAAGCTTCTGAAATCAAGTTATTGTTATCAAGAGTTTTATTGATCTTTGAACGGTTTGCTCTATGTTTGGGTACTGTAGCAATCCGTGAATAGTTGTAAGCAGAGGTGTACGGATCCGGGCTTTTTTTCAGATAATTTACCATCTGGATCCGGAAATTTCAGATCCAGATTCGAAAAGATCCGGATCAGATTCGGATCTGAGAAAAAATCCTGACCGGATCCGGATATTTAGTTGAAACTTTGACTAGCAGTATATCGGCCAATATCAGCTAAGTATTGCATTCTATCTCGCGCTCCATTTGTCGTTATTACCGTACTTTTGTGAAGTTATTTATTTGAATTAGTTCTATGTGAAATCTACTTAATTTTATCATTTACTACTCAATTTCCACTTAATTTTGTCATTTTCTGCTAACAATTTGATGATAAACTTTTTTTCTGATAAAAATCTGATCAACTGGCAATGACTTGACCGCTATTAAAAAACTTTTAATCAAAATGAAAATTAGAATATAGGATCCGGATCCGGATTTGGATAGTTTTTGAAGTTCTAGATCCTTCCGGATCCGGATTTGGATAGTTTTTGAAGTTCTAGATCCTTCCGGATCCGGATTTGGATAGTTTTTGAATTCTAGATCCTTCCGGATCCGGATTTGGATAGCTATTGAAGTTCCGGATACCTCCAGATCCGGATTAGGATAATTTTTCAAGTTCTAGATACTTCCAGATCCAAATTTGGATCGTTTTCTATGATCCGCACACCTCTGGTTGTAACCCTGTAAACAAGGCCAAGCTGGGTCATTGACCGAGCAAGGTTTGGCCTTACTCTAGTGGACTTGACTTAGCTTGGCCCGGAAAATGCTTTAGAACAGCCCTGCTTAGAATTAATGTAGCTATTTATTACTTTTATTTCTGATTTTTGATTTTTATTACTATTAGGATTAGTGTAGCCAAAGTTTTGTTTCTAATAACCTCTCTTACCTGGATGCCGGAAGCACAACTCGTCCACTGACGTTGAGATCTTCTTCTCGGAGATCTAAATATTTAAATGAATTGACATTGATGAAGGATTGAAGGCACTGATGCTGAGAAATTCAATCGCAAACCTTATCGTATTTTTGGCGTTTCGTTGCGGCTTTCAATCCTTGCCATGGAAGTGTGCCTCGGTTGAAGTACATCAATACATATCCTAACGACTCCAAGTCATCTCTTCGGGATTGCTCTGAAAGCGTTTGAATTGGCAAAGCTTCTGAATTAGCAAAGCTTTTGTTTTAATTGTTAAAGTCAAGATGAATTTTTAATTTCTCAGAAGGTTGAGGTCAAGATTGTTTATGAATCGATCAACTTCTGAATCAAACCATTTCTGAATCAATCCATTTCTGAATCGATCAACCTCTGAATCAATCCATTTCTGAATCAATCCATTTCTGAATCAATCAACTTCTCTCAATTCCTGCACTCACCGATTCCACGATGAGTATTTACAGAGGCGTATCGCGCCGTTCCCGTCAGATTCTTGTTTTCCCTGTATGGAATATGTTGTTGTGTTTTGCTCTCTCGGTACTTTTTCGCCAATCCGAAATCGATTATCTAAAAACGCAAGTTGTTTGAGTTCTAGATAAGTTCAAGATTTGTTAAGGAGCCGGGTTTTTGTTGGATAATGCTAACAATCAAGGCTAACAGTCAAGGCTAACAATCAATGCTAACATCAGATTTCTTTATCTAGTAAACTGCATAAAGTTAAATAACCTTATAAGTATAATCTTATCTTATAAGCTCTAATCGATGAATTTTGGTTTAAAAACGAAAAAGAAAACCCCGTAAAAACTCTAATAGAACGGTTCTCTAAGTTTACTCTCAAACAAACGCTCATATCTAAGCACCAGTACGTTTGTTTTTGCATGTTGAGATATCGAATTAAAGTAGAGAATATGGGTAACTTTTTGAAATATAACACATAGTTTTAACATTAACCAGCGCTTAGAACAAAATGATTGAAAAGTGGCAAAATTCGGTTTTTTTGTCACTTTTCAATCATTTTGTTCTAAGGACTGATTAATACTAAAAATATGTGTTATATCTTAAAAAAACAGCCATTTCTTCTACTTTAATTTGATACTTCAGCCTGCAGAAACAAACGTACTGATGCTGAGATATGAGCAGTTCTTTGAGTGTAAGCTAAGCGACTACGCGACGCTTCTATAAGGGACTCTTCTATTAGAGTTTTTACGGCTATTAGAGAAGCTATTAGAGGTTCTATTAGAGCTTTTAAAAGAAATGTTTTCAAGCTAAGTCAAGTCAAGCCAAGGTTCAAGCTTTACTGCAGCTATAAAAATCTTTGGACCCAACCAGAAGCCAGCTTTGACCTAGCTACTTGGACTTTGATCTTACTGGCTGCCTAACCAAGAACTATAGATATTACTAGTTCTACTTGAAAATTATTCAGTCCATCTTTGATTTACTGCTATCAACTTACATATACAAGATTTCCCCTCTTTCCAAGGCCCATCAAAAAGTTGTCGGGTTTGATATCGCGATGGATGTAGTCTCTCATATGAATGTACTCGATTCTCGAAAGCTAAAAAGAGGTTAGGGTTTTTTACTTTTCAAAATCACAAATACCATTTGATCAGCCAACAAGAGCACTGTTTTGAGGGTGAATTTGCGTTGACAGAAATTGAAAAGATCCTCGAGTGAGGGACCGAGCAACTCCATGACCATCACGTTGTACTCGCCCTCGTAGCCACACCATTTCATCTGGAAATATTAAAGATTGATTTTGAAATTGAAATCTTAATCTTTGAGAACCCTAGTAACGAATAATTCATAGAATCAGATGATTTGAGTCTTGAGTCATTCGATTTTTAGCCTTACTACGAAATTTACGATTAGGCTGTCAAGAAAGATCTGTTTAAATAACAATTTAAAGCCAACAAATGCACTGATTGAACTACGGTTTGTTTCATTAGAAAGACCACTTATTTTTCTGCAAAATAGCATTAAAAAAGGTTTAAAATGTCTTTTGTTTGGATTTTTTTGAGAGCGTGAAGTCGGGTAGTCAAAAAGGACGACGACTTGATGATGCGGACCCTTTAGCTTTAGAAAAAACACACTTTAGCTAAGGAAACCTATCTTGGTGTCAATAGATAAAAGATAGAGCACAAAAAGTTTGGTATATGGTCGAATTTTCAGAGAAATAGGCTCAGCCAATTTCTTTGTAGAGGTTTTTATAGATTTTTATGAAAAACACGTTTTCACTCAAGTTTCTTTACGTTTTCACTCTCGAATTTGGTTGAAAATCAACCGAAATTGACTTAAAAAGATGAAATTCAGATTTAGATCTAACTATCTACTATATATAAAGCCAAAGAGACATCCGTCTGTCTGTCTGTCGCTCCGTAATTACGTTTGCTTCCGTTTCAAAGCCAAAGTATTCAGCTTTTGCATCCGAAGCATCGATATTTTGCTTCCGGGGGTTTTCGGCTATGGTGAATTTGACTTTTAGGTTCATTTTTAAAAAGGGGGGCTTAACCTGGGTTAGGGTAGTTTTAGCCATAAGAAAAGAAAAGAAAGTTAACAGGAACGGGTTAGGTGTGTCGGAAGAGAGCTCGACAATTATGGTTTAAGGAATAGCAAGGTAATAGGTCCTTTACTTAGCGAAAGATACTTTTAAGAGAAAGCCTAAGCCTAAGCCTAAGCCTAAGCCTAAGCCATGAGCCTTTTAAAACCTCCGCTGATTTACTAGATAATTTCTAAGCGTCTCGACTTTTGTTTTTTACAAACCTGTGGAATCCCGATGCCTCCATACATCACTTTGTACAAACGGGCCTCGATGTGCAGCTGTGGGTGCTTCGTCTTCACACATTCCAATTTCACCGCCACCTCCTCGTTGTTTTGGATATTTTGACCTGAAAATCGAGTTTCATTTGTGCAGAAAACAATAAAGAAATTAGCAAAACTCTAGAAAAGTTTAAAGTTTACATTACAAATATTGGTAAGATCACCTAGATAAATTCAAAAATCACCTAGATAAATGTCGCCGAAAGACCCGCTTCCAATTTTGCGGCCGAGTCGAAATCGGCCACCCACCCGCAATTCCATTTCTGCTGAAAATTCAAAAAGTTGAGATATGTTTTTAAAATTAGGATCTATAGATGTTTATAGAGATTTATAGATCTTTATAGATATTTTCCTAACTTTGAGTAAATTCTTTTGCAACTTTGAAAAGCCAAAACGCCAAAACGGTCGATAGAATCAGAAAAAGATCGAAAAAAGATTGAAAAGATCGAAAAGATCAAAAAGAGATCAAAAAAAGATCGGAAAGATAAAAAAAACAGCAATTTTACCGTTCTTTTTAATCAAATGATTTAAAATGTTTCAAATTTCAAAGATCGAATTCGCTTTTTGTTGTGGAAATCAATTGAAAACAAAAATTTCGTGAATTGCGGAAGAAACACGAAATCTTTCCTCGAAGGGAAACGTTTTGTGCGAGGTTTTTCACTTCCAGTTTTTCACTTCATCTTTTCTTTTCATAACCACCATCCCCCGCAGCCCGGTAGATCTATTGAACTGAAGAAATATATGAAATGGGAAAAGGAGAGTACATATGGATGCACTGAAGAAAGGGAGGAAAGAGGGGGAAGGAGTAGAACGGGAAGGAGTAGAAAGGGAAGGAGTAGAAAGGGAAGGAGTAGAAAAAGGGACATGTGAGCCCGCATCTCCCCTCGGTCATTGACCCCGTTCAACCGCACCAAGACACGACCCTTCTGTCTCTAGTACAGGGAAAATATTCAACTGTCCAGAAAGGCTTTTCGTTTTAAAGAAAGTCTTTCTTTAAAACCAACAACCAATCAACCAACAAATTCACCAATCTTCACCTATGATTTGCTATTTGATTTGACATTAAATTGACACTAAATCATTGATTTCTCTTTACTATTTTTGAGTTTTGAGTTTTTTTAGTATTTCATTTTTTTCAAAGCACCCGTACTTTCAAAAAATGCCTCTTTGTTATCAAAAAATAGCCCTGAATTTCAGCTATTTTTTGATATCTAAACGAGCATTGTAGCATAAACCAGTGTCGAGAAAAACGTGTCCAAAGCTAGACTACACAATACTCCGTACCGTCATTATGAGGGTGGGGTACTATTACAGTATTTACGGTAAGTGTTTATAGCCAAAAGATAGCCAATCTTTGACAGATTATAAATCTTATTACAGTTTTGAAATAGCTCATTTAGATTTTTTGCTATCGCTATTCTTGCTCTTCGAAAAAAGCGAATTGCGAAAGCGAAAAAAGCGAACTCAAGCAAATTGTGATAACTCAAAATCTAAATGAGCTATTTCAAAACTGTAATAAGATTTAAATTCTGTGAAAAATTGGCTATCTTTTGGCTGGAAAAAACTTATGAAATAAAAAGAATCAGAGAATTTAAGAAGATCAGAACACTCCGCACCTGCACCGTCATTATGGGAGTGGCGCACTATTACAGTATTTACGCTAGGTTGTTTCCAAATCAGTCAATGCCAAAAGCTGACCTGAAAACAAACCAGCAAATATTCATAACGAAAAGATCAAACAATGAAAAAATTATTTGGAAAAGGTCATAGAAAATCGATTCATTTCGATTTGCCTGCAATCCCCTTCCCCCTGTGACGCACCATTATACGACGAGAAGGCGCCATCGGCATTTTCGACAAGCTGATTCATTGTGAGCAAGTAATGAATACCCAACAACACACAAAGGAGTGAAACGGGTCGATTGCCGAATTGTCTCGAGGTTTCCCTTTTTCCTAGCCTATCGATAAGACCTTGGCAGAACACGGGCGCCTCGCACAACCGCCCCGCGCGCCTCCTCTTTTTCTTTTCCCTCATCGCTTTTTTTTTTCTATCTTCTCGTGTCTTCTTCACTTTTTGCTGACAGAGACACACGCGCGTGATGCTCGACGTACAGAAAAACCGGTGAGATGCCAGACAATGTATGGATTCTAACTGCAGACAGACGTCTGCCTTGCTGAGTCATCCGGAAAGCTGTTTGGGTGCTGAATTCCCGGGTTATCAGACATTTAATACCATTGGCATCGGTATTGGCATTGGTATTGGCATTGGCATTGACATTGGTATTGACATTGGCATTGGCATTGACATTGACATTGGCAATCCAACTTTGAGCTCAAATATCTTGGCTTTCGGCTGTTCAATTTAAATATTCTTAATATCATTGGATGCGCCAAGTCTTTCTCTATCGATTGGTACAAAAATTATTTAAATTAGACAGCCCAGCACAAAGATATTTGAGCTCAAAGTTGGATTGCCAATGGCAAAGGAGGCGGGGCGCGTATAAAGGGTCTATCGCCCCGCCCCTTTTGCCATTGGCAATCTAACTTTGAGCTCTAATATCTTAGTGTTGGGTTGTCCAATTGAAATAGTTTTTGGTACCAGAGACAGTGAAAGACTTGACGCATGCAATGATATCAAGAACATTTAAATTCGACAGTTTAACACCAAGAAATTTGAGCTCAAAGTTGGATTGCCAATGGCAGAAGGGTCGGGGCGACGGTCGGGGGCTCACAATCGAATTTCCACGCTAATTTATGCAATTGATTAAACTTTTGAGGGTTCGAACTTGAAAGGCTCAACAATGAAAGAGCTTTGAATAAAAAAGGCAGCAAAATTGATGTCTTTTCAAAGGCAAAAAATCGGCTGATAGAAATCGATCGTCTTCACGATTCAAGCTCAAATTCATCAACTTTACTAGATTCTAAACCTAGATTCTAGCCTAAACAGCCCTCTAACATAGCCTAAACATTTTCATCTGTGAATAAACAACAATTGTGAATAAACAATGTGAACAAGTACCAGAAGGGGATCGAATAGGAACAAAAACTTACTCAAAAAGGTAAATTCATAAGCTATGTAAAGCAGAAATGCTATTTAAAGCTAGTCAAGCTTTTCTAGAACAAGAAAACTATCGGCTGACAACCCAATTTGCTTTCATTCACTTGCCCTCCTCAAAAACCCAATAAAAATACGAGGTGTTCGCCTTTTCTCTAATCTCTTCAAGGCGAGCTCTTCTTTTATTGGCAGTTCTTTGGGGAAGAGTGCTAAAAGAAAACTCGATTCGCAGCAGTCAGCTGTTTAATCTATTTATGAAGAATAATGTGGTATTTAATCTATTTATGAAGAATAAGAAGAGCTCTTAGTTCTTAGCTCTTAGCCAGTCTTAGCTCTTAGTTCTTAGCCAGCCTTAGCTCTTAGTTCTTGGCCAGTCTTAGCTCTTAGTTCTTGGCCAGTCTTAGCTCTTAGTTCTTAGCCAGTCTTAGCTCTTAGCTCTTGGCCAGTCTTAGCTCTTAGTTCTTGGCCAGTCTTAGCTCTTAGTTCTTGGCCAGTCTTAGCTCTTAGTTCTTGGCCAGTCTTAGCTCTTAGTTCTTAGCCAGTCTTAGCTCTTAGCTCTTGGCCAGTCTTAGCTCTTAGTTCTTGGCCAGTCTTAGCTCTTAGTTCTTGGCCAGTCTTAGCTCTTAGTTCTTAGCCAGCCTTAGCTCTTAGCTCTTGGCCAGTCTTAGCTCTTAGTTCTTGGCCAGTCTTAGCTCTTAGTTCTTGGCCAGTCTTAGCTCTTAGTTCTTAGCCAGTCTTAGCTCTTAGTTCTTAGCCAGGCCATGGCTAATAGATTAGGTAGAAAATTCAAATAGCTAACGATAGATTTAATAGTAAAGTCTGCTAGTTATTCAAAAACATAGTAAAGCTAAACCTAAGAATCTAAGATAACCTAAGAACGTTATCTAAGAACTGCTTGAAAATAAAAACCCATACGATCTGGTATATTCTGGTATACTGGTAAGAAGATTTATAAGATGAAAATAGTCCAGTTACCAGTTTTTCTATTCAAAAAAGTTCTGGCTACAGTTGAACAATGAAACGAACTTGTTTCTAATGGTTCTTTGTGCTCAAAAATGGAAACAAACTCTTTCTAGTGCATTGAATTGCGAACTTTTTATGAGATTCAATAAAATTTAGCTGTACCAGATCGAGTTATGCCCTAAATACAGAAAAATTCTTACAAAATTTGCCATTTTCCTTCAAAAAGAGAACTTTGTGCCAAATTCAAAAGAGAGAAAATGTCTCCAATCATTGCCAAAGTGTGAATTCAATAAAATCAATAGCCTATTGTTCTCTCAGAGAAACGATTAGGGGAAACGTTTTGTCGATTGTCGAAATAAAGAAATTTGAGGAAATGTACTGGTTGAAACTAAAGCGATAACGAGGCGATTCATTGTTTGTCAAAAGTAGAGGGGAAACGAGTGAGAAGTGATAAAGAACAAGCTGAGGGGTTTTTTTTTGGTAAAGAATTTGTTTTATTCAAAACTTAATCGATTTTCTAAGCGAAATAGGCGAATTTTGTCGAAGTTTCTGTAAATTTCAGTGGCTTAGTTTTCAAGTTTTGATCTTTAAAAGCTTTTTTATGATAAACTTTCTGAAAAATCTGGTTATTTAGATAAATTTAATGGAAAAATTGCTTGTTTTACTTAAAAAATGAAGTTATTTAGCTATAAATGAAGTTATTTAGTTTTAGATTTGGCTATTTAGTTATAGATGTGGCTATTTACGTAAATCTAATGGTTTAAATGGTTGGTTTACTTAAAAATGTAACTATTTAGCTATAAATGCAGTTATTTAGCTATAAATGTAACTATTTAGCTATAAATGTAGCTATTTAGGCAAATTTATATCATAAAATTGCTTGTTTTACTTAAAACTTTAATTATCTACTATATATAAAGCAGAAGAGACGTCTGTCCGTCTGTCCGTCTGTGCGCAGCCATTGGCAAAAAGGTGCGGGGCTTAAATTGCGTAGAAAACGTGGACTTTCGCCAGTGGAAACGCGAATTTTAGTGAGCCTAATACTTAGATGGAATTGAGTAGCCCTAGACAATCCAAATGTTTTATAGTGAGCGTTTTCCGCTGGTTTAGCTATAAGTATAGATATTTAGGTAAATTCTTATAAGAAAATTGCTTGGTTTATTTAAAAATTTGAATATTTAGCTATAAATGAAGCTATTTAGGTAGATTTAAGAACAAAATTGCTTGGTTTACTTTTAAAAAA